CCCTACCTTCTCTCACTGCAGATCCACATTGATACAAAAAGTGCCTCTCAGATGTTTGAGTTGATCAAGAAGAGACTGAAGCACACAGATGCCTATCCCTATTTGTTATCCATCCTCCAGCACTGTTTGCAGATGCCATGTGAGTACATCGCAGTTTTCCAGAGCAAGGGGTACTGAAGAACTGGTTGAAGCTTTGGTGTAGGTACAGGGTCACAGGTATCAGGACACACACTGCCCTTGTCTTCCATTCAGAACTTGGCAGTGGCTAAGGGACTTGGTATCTTACGCTGACTCCATCCAGCAGATTTTCATCATGATGCTTACAGCAGCAGCTTGAACTCTCTGCACTTGAAAATAAAACTAAGTAACTGAGACATTCCAGTTGGTCACTGAAAAAAATTTTAATGATTTTAAATCAGAAATTTTAAAAAAAAAGAAAGAGCCTTTGTGCTCTAGATCAGGGAATTCCCAGAAATAGATACCATTTTGAATATTAACAAATTACACTGAGGATTTTTTGTGGTGAAACAATACAGTACTGAAAGCTGTTTTGTCACTGGGAAGTTCCACAGTAAGTCTTCAGACTGCTATCTCCTGGCAATGCATCAGTGCAGAGCTCCTGAACTCAAACTGAAAAATGACATTGGCATTTGTTTTCAAGAGAAGTAACAGGAATCTTCTTGTTGACTGTAACAAAATAATTCAGTTATGCTTCCAGAGCGTAGCAGCTGAGCAAAAGCATAGCAAGGTCAGTAAAGAACTGCCTGCCTTGATCCTGTTAGGTATCAGGTGCTGGTCTTCATTACTTTCAGCCATACTTGAGCAGTCAAACTGAGAAGGGAACATGAGGGAGATGTACTGTGGTGTGCTTTTTCCGAAAGTAATGTGGTATGTTTTCAGGCACTCATTAGATTCAAGTACTACCGTGCACAAATTCAAGCAGTTTTTTGTCCCAGTGGTCTCCTTGATATTACTCTTTAAGACAGTACTTGAGCTTTAGGTATTGATCTAGATTTTTGGTGGTAGAAGGGCTAAATCCTGCTAGGCCAGGACAGGATTGTACTGGAGGAGTTTCAAAGAATTTAAAGGTCTAGGTTATGTAACTCAGGGACCTGAGATGAACTTCATGTTGCTCTGGCTCTTCTGTTTGATATCCATGAGATCAGTACCTTTGGTTCAATTTCTGTTCTTTCTCTCCACACTTTTTGGTCATGTTTGTATGAATTTTTCATGCCAGTTGCATTTCACTGACATTCAGATAACTGAGCATTTATATAGAACATCTGATTGTTTTTACAGTGCCTGGTCACTATGTTACCTAGGTACCAAAAAAAAGTCTCAACATCAAGCCCCAGAAAATACTGAGTAACAGCTATCACAAAGGAATCACTTCTGTAGGCATTTAAAGTGCAAGTTAGAGCTAATCTGTCAAAAGGGTTGCACAGCCTGAACGTGTATATCAGACGCAGAGTTGCCCATGCCTGTTATGTGCTGTTCCAATATGCCAGGTGTTTGTAAATAATTTGCTAGCAACATTTTGGGGTTAGTCTTTGTGTTCTATAATTTACTACATACAGGGTTGAAAAGGAAGGCAGAAAGGAAGGAATGCAGATCTGTGCACTTGGGTATGGAAATGGAAGTTCTCATGGGTTGGTCTTTTTCCATACAGATAAGAGGAATGGAGGAAACTTCCAGCAGTGGCAGTTGTTGGACAGAATACTCCAACAAATTGTTCTTCAGGATGAACGAGGAGATGATCCAGATATAGCTCCATTGGAAAACTTTAATGTCAAAAACATCATTAAAATGTAAGCAGCTTTATTATTGTTTATTTCTGTTATGCAGGTAAGTATAAGTATGCAGGTGCTTAGGAAATAAAATATCATATCTGATGACTTTCTTATTTTAACTTACAACTTCTTTTTGTCTTGTTAGTCTTCTAAATAGTTTCCTTCTAATGACATCTTAACCAGACAGTATTTTCTAGCAAAGTCCTTGCCTTTGGCTTCTAATTTCTATTAACTATTAAGCTGGCTAGAAGAGCAGGAAAAATACCCATGATGATATAACAAGGCTTCCTCATGTGCCTTTTTTCATTCAGAATGTTGATGAAAGCTTTCATTGGTATTCCAAAAGAAAAAAAGTTATCATCACTACTTAGATCTCATTCCTCACTAATGGCCACATAGTTCAGAAAGATTTTATATAGTGGAAAGCAACGCCCACCTAGCACAGAAAACCTTTTACCTCTTCATAAAATGTCTGCATGCTCTCACCCACAGACTTGGCTGAGGGCACTACCGTTATTTTTTCCCATAGGACACATCATTTGAGAAGTCTAGCTACATGAGCTGGCTCTCATCTCAACTTCCCTGTTTTCAGTCCTTTTTTAGCCAAAATTTTGGACTCTTCATTCCATCCATCTGCCTCTGCAGGTAATTCACGGCCCATTACCCTTCTGAGTTATCCACTGAAAAGAGCATTTTGTAGAACATAGACCTCTTATGAAACCAAATTCTCCTATACTAAAAATCTTACATTCCCTCCTGTTACAGGCATGAGCCAAAATCAAAACTGATTTCTCATCATGGAAAAATACACTGGTGTTGATCTCTTTCTGTCTGCCTGGATATCAGACTTCATTGCAGATCTCAAACCTGATCTTCCCTTTTTACTTTCATAGCTACTCCTTATTCTGCATATCTAATCAATCCCCAGCATGCCCCGCATATTTTCTGTCAGTAATAGGAAATAGCTGTGCCACTATGAGATATGAGCATTGCCTTGTTACTGATATATTACCTAACAGATAAGCATCCTCCCTCCTTGTAAGAAACAAAAAATAGAACCATGGAAAATAAAAAAAAAAGAAATGGCAATCTGGTCTCTTGTTAAGGGTCAGGTAATTTGTAACCCACAGCAGCTATGATTATTTTAATGATGGCTGCTGTTTTTCAAAATAAGATTTAGCACTTTAAGGGCATTACCTGAAGACAGGAATGTATCAGGATTTTTTCCCCAGGTATTCCTTTATCTCTTTTCAGGACTTCGAGCAACAAGCCATCACATTTGTATTACCTGTTGGCTATAGTAAGGATCAGGATCTGGAACCAGACTGACCACTGGTATGATCCTGTATAAACATGTAAATTCAACAGGTTGCCTTTTGCTGATCATTGCACATAATGGCCACTTGCCTTTCAGCCTGAGTGGCTCAGAAGAAGTTTAAATGATCTGATTTGATCTTTCAGGCTGGTGAACGAAAATGAAGTCAAGCAGTGGAGGGACCAGGCAGAGAAGTTTCGGAAAGGTGAGCGTGTCCTCTGTGCTTGGGGAGGCAAAAGAGGAGGCAAGACTGATCCCCATTCAGTCATAGAGCAGTGAGCAGCAGAGCTGTGCACAACTTTTCCTTTTGTGGACAAATCCTGCTTTCTTCCCTCCAGTATATTTTGTCTCATGGTGATCAGTTTATGGGTTTCATAGGCTGGAGCTTCTTTCAGTCCTCATATGAAGTGACTTTACAGTCTAAGTGAAACTTGGGCATTGCTGTCTTGATAACTGAAGATCACTGTCAGGACAGTCAGACTCTGTTTTCTTTCTCCTGCTCTCATTATACATCCCTAGTTGAACTGACAGATTTCTCAGCTTTATTTCAGCATAACCTGCATCTCTTCAGGGACTGTTAATGAGCTTTATTTCATCAGCCCCACTTGCCTGTTCCCTCTAGATCATGCTGAGCTGATGAGTAGGCTAGAGAAGAAGGAGAGGGAATGTGAGACAAAGACCCAGGAGAAAGATGAAATGATGAAGACACTGAACAAAATGAAGGACAAGCTGCAGAAGGAATCCTTGGAGCTGCGCCAGACCCGGGACCAGATGAATGACCTGGTGGCTCAACTTAATGAGTTTTCGGTATGAGCCTGGGACTCTTCCCATCCTTGTTTAAAGCCTGCTAACTAGTGAATGATGAACAAAAGCACATTATGAGTGAAGCACTTTCTATGGTCAGTACAGAGAGAGTCTGTTTAGCCAGCTACAAAGATGAATACGTAGAAGCTGCTCAGCTTTTAACTGAGACTGAAATCCCTGAGCTGGTGGTATAGAATGGATAATGCATGGGTTGCTCCATTCCTTCTCCTCAGCCACTTTCCTTGCAGGAGCTGCTGAGGCACACATGTCCTCCTCCAGCCATAATTTTTACTGCTGAGTGGAATGGCCCTGGTTGTTATTTCAATGGAACAGAGAGAAATCTCCCAGATACAACAGTCAATTTAGTGAAGAAACAGGATTCATGTCATGCTTCAAGAGCATCTGTACTACCTTGGAGCTCTGCAGAAGTGACATTTGCAGCTCCTCCCTCCTGCTTGGTGCTCCTTCCATCCCGGCAGTGTGCCTAAGCCTCAACTCGCTGGGACACGGCCCTGAGAAGTTAGACACTGCAGAAAGCAGATTCATTCCCTCCTCCCCTCTCCCACTTTGCATTAGTGGGGCCTAATGACAGGTATTCAGTATTTCAAACCCTAAGGTTTAAAAACCAGGAGTTCAAAAGTTCATAAGATTGAACTTTTCTCTTTTTTCATACATAAGGAGAAAATAATACATTTTGGCCTCTTTCACTAGCTTTCTGTTTTTCTGAGCCATTTATGGTTCCTTTTTTCAAGCTCTTCTCCACAACTTCAAGGGCTTGAAACTTTCTCTTAAATGAAAGCTGAGATTCCTCCCTTTATTGCATGGCTTTGAGTGCAGGAGGCTTTAAAGAAAACATCAAATATTTTGAGACCCGTAATAAAATCACATCAGCTGGCAACATGGAGTTATTGTGCTTTTTAAACTGTTTGCTTTCTTTTTCTGTGTGTTTTTTATTTTCCAGCAAGGGGGCAGCATTTCCTTCCCACCCCCACCCCCACCCCCTCCAGGTGGCCCTTTAGCTTTGTCCTCTTCTCGCATGTCTGAGAATTTGCCCCCGCTGCCACCTCCTCTGCCTTTCTCCAGCTGTCCCCCTCCTCCTGCTCCACCACCTCCGCCAGGAGGACCTCCTCCCCCACCAGGAGCACCACCTTTCTTCAGCATGGGGATGCCACCCCTTTCAACAACCACTTTCAGCAGCAGTGGCACCAGCCTGAAGAAGAAATCCATCCCACAGCCTTCACACCCACTGAAATCCTTCAACTGGGCTAAGCTGAGTGAGGTAAGAAATTGCAGTACTCTCAGCAACTAATTTGCTTTCTAAGTATAACTTAGTGTTGATTGATGCCATGATAATGCAAGGTGACGGAAGTAAGAGATATTGTGGCTTTCTGTGGGCTGAGGTCAGTAGGTGTCACTAATTGTCTTGAGGGAGCCTCCCCAGTTCTCCAACAGTGCAGCATATCTCCTGTGATGACCAAGGTGCTGGTTAGATTGAGCTGCAGTAGATCTGGGCATGCTATCAGTTAGGCAAAGCTGTAGTGGGACTGAATACATGAACCAGAGCTGGACATCTCCAGGACTGGTGTGCAAGTGCTGCTTTGGTTTGCACACTGGGAAAAGGACAGCCAGAGACAGTGTGAGCAAAACATGGTGAGAACCATCTCCAAAACCAGCCTCCTCTACCCTGGCAGGAGCCATCAATAAGGAAAGAAAGGTGACTTGATTCTCCTCACCATTTGTTCATGGCCACAAGAGAAGCTGCCCTTCTCCTTGCATGGTTACAACTCTCTCCCGGTGATAAAACTCCAAATTGGCAATAAACACAGAGGATGTGTATTCTTCCTATTACACTCATTCTCTGCTACCTTGGTTGCCTCTCTTTTTCCTCCACTTCTCTCTCTTCCTTCTCTCTTTCTTTTTTCCTCCCTGCCCTTCTCCTTAGGTCTTAATTTTTTTTAACTGATTTAGAAAGAAAAAAGTGTTCGTGTTGAGTTTGGATGGCTGCCTAGAAACCCAGGTTCTCTTTTAGACTGAAACTCACCCAGGGCCCAACTCCGGCATTTGGAATGAGTGTCCAGGGACATCTGGAATGCCACAAGAATTCTCTCTCCCCCTCTCTCCTTTTCTTTAAAATAAAGTGAAGTGAAATATTCGCTGCACCGTCTGTGCTTGTCTGTCAAGGCCACGTGGGGGGTGTGGGAGAGAATGTAAGGACGGGGATTTATTTTCCTTTGCAGAACATGGGACTTAGTGCTCTGAAGAAAAGAAATAATAACTAATATATGTATATATATGAATGTATATGAAAAAGAGAGAGTCACAGGTGTTTCTGTTTAGTGTACAGTAACTGTAGGCTTATCCTGCCCTCTGGTTAGGAGTGAAGGCAGCTGTGCTAATAAAATTGAAGACCTGGGTGGTGAGGTGGGTAAAAGATGCTATTTTGAGGAAAGCAGAATAGTTGGAAAAAGGGGCATACGTGTCAGTGTTTTGACCTAGTAAGGTCTCTGCAAAACTGAAGATGTTTTAGTGCAGACACAGGTGGCTTGCCTTGTTATTTGGGTTGCACTTTGTTATGGAATTATTTAATTCCACTGACTGCTGGAGGAGGCGATATATTTTGGCCATCCTGATCAGTTACCCTAGATTCCCTGCTTCAGTACCAGGTGCTTTCTTTCTGTTCACATGGGTATGAATCTTCTGAATGCAAAGTCACAGGTAGGCTGGATGGCCTCATCTTGCCTTTTGTTACCGTTGGGGCACTTCTGTGGTGTTCTCCTGAACAAGCACATTGGCTGGGACTAGCATATCCAGAGTTTTTGAGCATGAGAAACTGAGACCTGGAAGTGTGCATATAATTATTGTGGTTCGTGGTAGTGTTTAACTTCCAGTTCACATGAATACAAGTTTTTCTCACAAAAACATTTTGAGGAAAAATACATCTGACACCGTGTATGTGCTTTTCTTTTTTAAAAGACTGGTCTTGTAAGTAAAGAGCACAGGCACATCATGCAACACATCGAGGTGAGCTGACGCAGTGTTGGAAACAGAGCTGTACACGAACTTAGGGCTGCAGCCAGGTCAAATATGTTATTCAGCTCTTAGGTATCTCTGCATACTGTTTAGACCATCCTTCTCAAAGCAGTTAGGATAGAGCTTCCCTCCTAAGCTTTCTCAAGTGTGAAGATGATGCCAGGACTTAGGCAGTCCACATGATGGCAAAGCCCTTTCTGTCCATGCAGCCTGCCTCAAGGCAGGGGAAGAAAGCCAATAGAAGCCAGGAGGAGCGTGGACAAGGCTGGCCAAGAGGAATTTGTCTGCAATATACTTTCTCAGTAGCAGAATCAAGGCTGTTTTCCAGGACAATTCATATGACACATTTTTTCCCAATGCTGATACTGTCTTTGGAAGGAAAGGACTGAACTGTTGGGTGTTAGGAGAGTGATCAAATATATTCAGACTCTTAGCAGCCGACAATAACAGATTGTCCACAGCTCCCATGGGCACCATGAAAAAAGGTTTGACTGGAAAGTGTTCGTGCTTCTAACAAGGAAACTCCAACAACTCGCTAATTTCCTTTGAGAATTAAAGATTTTGTACAAGCTTTGATGTGAGCTGACGATCAGTGGCAAAGCCATTTAGACGCATGGATGGGCTGGGTTCTGATGAAGCCCTTCCACACCACAGCTCCATTCATACAGCGCTGTAGCTTTGTCTGTGAATTCCATTCATACAGCACTACAGTACTGCTGGTGCCAAGGATCTCTGTTTTTTAAGAAAAAGGTACTGCAATGTAACCACTGTAATATCCTAGAAAGATTCCTTTCTTTGTTTCTGGACAGCAAGTGGAGTTTGCTCTCTCACTCTGAATTTTACACAACATCCAAGGTCAAACAGGGACCAGACATCTATGGTTAATCCAAATGATGGACTGGTTTCAAGTGCACTGGAAGTATGGATTAATACAATTATCTCTTTAATAAATACAAAACATATTGATTCTAAGTTACCAGAGTAAATCAAGTCAGCCTTCAACTGTGCTGCTTGTTATCTCATGGCTGGAGAAGCAGCTTCCCATTAAGAGTCAGGCTGGTAATGACTCTAGTCAATGATTTGAAAGGGGTTTTCTTTAGCCAGCCCTAAATAAACCTGGGTGAAAATGTCGCAGAAGACAGGTATTTGTTCTACATACCTCATAGGATTTTTAAAAAAAACATCACCAAAACCTAAAAAAAAAAATCACATTAAAAAAAATATTCATTTTGACACTAAATTTTTTAAAAAATGTTTCTATAATGTTATTGATGATTCTACTTTCTGGAACTTTCTTCTTAAAAGTAACCTGAGGACCATGGTAAACAATTATGCAGGACTGCTGCCAGAGATTCAAAATTAATGGAAAGATTTCTACAAAATCTCAGTGTGAAGCTACTCGTAATAGCCTTGGTGGTGCATAGTCCTACAGTGAGATAAAACAGTTGTCTCAATTAACAAACATGCCAGAAATACAATTTTGCTCGAAGTGGAATTTTCTTACACTGGGGAAAGGATCTGATATCAAGAGAGAAATGTGAAAAACGCATTCTGTTCGTATCCCTTTTTCAGATTCATAATGCAATTATGAATTAAAATTTTAAGTTGCTTCACTTTTTGATGGTTGATATTTTATATTTCTTAGCCTACTAATAAGCAGGATTGCCTGCTCCAGTATTCACAGGACACTGATAGTTTCTGTGGTTTCTCTGGACCTGCAGGACAAACAGAAGGCTTTCTCAAAGTACTGTAAGTTTTCATTCATGCAGTGAGGTTATTGAGGCATGATGGACTTTGGTGTCTTGCAGAGTATCACTATTTATCTTTCAGGGTAAATAAAATAATTGGTTAGATGTGGCAGAGGACACCTTGATATGATTTGTAGCCCCATGAAACGCTATCGTTCCCGAATCTTGGTAGGTCTCTCAGCAAACTGGGCTTCATTACAAAGGTGGAAAGACATAACTACAGCAGCTACAGCGAGTAAATTGTTAAATGCAACATACCAAAAACTCAGCTTGATGGAGCAAATGCCTTGTCAATACTTGTTCTGATAATAAGATGTTTCCTTACGTGGTATATACTACCATTTTGCTAGAGGACACTGGGAAATGTAGTTCATAGGATTTGTTTCTCAAAGGAGGCCAAGACTTTGCAAAGCAGAGGAACCACAGATCTTGAAGACCTGTAGAATGAATAAATAAATGAATGAATAAATAAACAAATATGGAGAGAAAAGCACATTACAGATGAATTGATCTCTCTTCTTTCTTTCTTTTTGTTTAAAAAAAGAAAAAAAAAAAGAAAGAAGAAATAAAGAATTTACTTTGTTTTTAAATTGTTATTTAGGGACTATAAATATTTTTTATGGTGCTCAGGGAATCATTTATCATAGCAACCACATTATGCAAGTCTGTTTCTCTTAAAATGCTCAGTCTCTCTGGCTGATGACAAGGAACTATCAGCCAGTTAATCCCTAACCGAGTAGCAAGAGCTCAGTGTAGGAAATTATCTGGCAGCAACATGAAAGTTTTCCAGTGCAGACCTTAGGGTAGAAATAGAAGGGACAGCCCCATTGCAACTGTTTCATGTAACAAAGGTTGTTTATACCTCTGCCTGCCTCATTTTTTCTTTAACTGGGTTAGCCCATTTGGTTTTTAAGCACTAAAATTGGGTTCCTTGAGTCAAAGCTCTGTTGTGCACACCATTGCAATGGGTGCTGCTTTGGAATTTGTCTTGCTGCAACAAGTAGCATGCAAACCATCCTGTACAGGACCAGATTCAACCTGGGTCTTAAAATTACTCTGAATTGAAATAAGAATAATTTTCACTTTCTTGAGTTGTTTTTCTGGGAAAGTATGGACAAGAACTACTCTCTGCAATCCCTTTGTGAGTCTCAGAACTACCTGTTCCAGCACCTCTGCAATTCATTTGGACTAGCCCGTTCTGTAGCATGTTTTCACTGTTCTTGCCTTTTGTGGGGAAACTTTACTCCCATGAGAGTTTTGCAGCTGGACAGGTAGATGGGCAAGACACTCATGAGTAGCTGTCTCTCGAGCCGTGTCCAGCTTTCTGCCAAACACAGCATGTAGATTTTGGCATCCTCAGGGCTCTGTCCCAATGATGATTCTAAAGACTGCTCCTAAAGTCATGTCCGCTGGCTCCTATTAAGAAATATTCTTCCATTTCAGTGTTTGATGGGACAATCTGAAACGGTGAGGAACTTGGAGAACTGCTCTGCTGTTCAAATACATCCCTCAGGATTTATAATTCAAGGTTTATATAGCCAGCTTGGAAATTGAATAAGAATGAACACTGCCTGGATGCTTCTGGCTAAGATTGGCAGTAGAGTCCAGGGTTAGGATAAAATTAAAATTAACTTTGTCTCCTATTCCTTTGGCTGAGATGAGCCTCCCAAACTCGTTTGTTACATTACAGTCACAGGGTCATGATGTTTTTCCCACTATGGACAGAAGAACCACACTGACGGCAAGGAATGATACAATGGTATTGGTGAGCCTGTTCAGGGATGGGTGCTGCTCCCACCTAGGACATGCTCTCACCATCAATGGCACTGCAGCACTGCAGACACCCCTCCTTGCCCTCAGGCACTCACAGGCTGCCTCTGGAGGGAGGGTGTTGGTTTTCCTCCACAGTGTCTGCCCTGCCAGGAATTTCCTCCAGAACACTTCACAGTTTATTTCCCCCTCATTTCATCCTCCCATCAGTTTTTTTCCTCGCTCCTTGAGCCTTGTGGCTTAGCACATTTCCCTCATTCCTTTGATGACTGTGAATGGGAAGTAGAGACTGTTCCTAATTAGTTCTGATAATGAAGTGTTAACACACTTTGCTGTGTAGGTACAAGTCAGGTACTTCAGAGCTGGAGCCTGTGTGAGGGTTTCATTGCTGTTGCTTGCTGTTCCTGGCTTTCTCTGCATCAGCGTTCTGCTGGCTCTTCATCTCCTGGGATTTGCTTAGGTCTTTTTACAATCCCTTCTGTTCATTTCCTTTTTCTTTTAATCAACACCTTCGTCATTTTTCTAGTTAATAAAGTACAATAAACGTACACTTCATTAACTAAATGAACTGAAAGACAGTGGTGTCACATGTGAAGAGCAAATTCTCCTTCTCTGAATGGGGGGTAATTGCCCAAAGCCTGTCCCACACAACATGCACCTTAACAGTCAATAGGAAGGAGAAGGTAATTCAATCTTTGTGTCCTCTTTGCCAGCAAGGACATCTGTCCTGAGAATGTCAGGAGACCCCAAGGCCTTCTACTTTAGGATGACTGCTGATTAGCTAATTCATGTGCTACAAGAGCTTGTTTGGTCCACGCTTGGTGGACAGCAAAGTTGGAGGAGGAGTCCATGAGTGTCTCCCTCTGTGCTAATCATCTGCCAGACAGCTAGGATTCCCTGGCATTCAACATAAAGTATCACACGGGTTGTGAACATTTCCAGTTAGTGTGGATGATGCTTTTTCAGAGATCTGGGTATAGATAATGTCTATCTGAGTCAACAGAGAACTCATGTGGACAGGGGAGATCATCTAATAGGAAACAATTAGACTTCAAAGACTGAGAGCCTTAAAAGTAAAACAAAATAAATTCTTAAACTACTTTCACAGGCAGGCGGAATGAAAACCACACACCCTTTGGGCTTTACAACAGAACCTGGCAAAATTTGCAGAAGGGAAGATGTGTCTGGGGTTTGTCATGCATCAGTGCCCCTCCAAAGCCTTTTCCTCATGATGGTAACACTTCTTTCAGCATGACCACAATCGTTGTGTTAGACAGATGGCCACTCTTGAAAGGAAACTTACTGTGGGATCGTGGATATTGCCTGAGATGTGGTCTGCTAGTCTTGGAATGCACCCTTTCATCAGAGGCTTGCTGTGATGGAAAATACAAAATACTCAGTATGTTTAAAGAAAAAAAAAAAAGGGAAAAAAAAACCACTGTTTTTTTTCTCCTTTGACTCTCGAAACAAAGCGTGCCCTCTAAAATGACAGCAGTAGTACATAGGAATATGGTCGGTGAGAAGGAGGGAATGATCTGTCCAAAAGGGATTGGATGTTCTTAGCTAAAAGCTTTTGCTATCTCATTAAAATACTACTTTTTCTTTCAGGAGAGGATCCATGGCACAATCTGGAATGAGATTGATGATTTAAAGGCATTCAAGGTGCTGGATCTAGAAGATTTTGAAAAGATGTTCTCCGCATATCAGAGACACCAGGTAGGGGTGAACTCTTCCACACCTTGTCTTCCTTGAATTTCTGGAGGAGGAAAGAACACATGCTAGTAATCTAGGCCCTTGTCCACCTGCACTTAGACTGCGTCATTTGCTGTTCTGCCACTGTTCAAAAAATCACAAGACCAAAAGAAGTGGGGAAGACATATAGGGCAGAGTATAACCTTCTATTATCAACATGCTTCATACTAATGGGCAGCTCTCAGAGACAACAGCTCCCAACAGGTAATGCTCTATTTGATCTCAGCAGCCACTGGCTTCCAAAAGCTCCCGAGTTTTACATTGATATTGATCTGTCTATTTCTCCCGTTCATTCAGAGAAAAAGTCTGTAGTTGCCTGAGTACTAAGCAAGGTGACTGAATTAGCTGTCTTTTGCTCTGTCTATTTTTTCTTAAACAACCAACTGACCCAACTGGCTAGGTGACAGAAACTGTCTGACTTACAGATTGTAACACAAACAGCATACTTTAAAAGCGGTCATTTATTAGAATGTCTTTTTTCCCTCCTCTTTTTCTTGGAAAGCAAGTCACCTTAAATCTGTCTATCTCCGCTGAATGAGATTTAGCAGGAGAGGGATTGTACTTGCAGTCCCTGAACTCCCCCAGCTTTTCTTTGCTTTTGGAATATGTTTGGAGAAATTCAATCTTTTGTACTCTGCAGAATTGGATCATTGCTCTGAAGTTTTAGGAAAAGACACAGACGTGATTGCTATAAGCATCCTTTATGATTAAGCCTTACAATGATGATGACTACTTCGTTAACTTATTCAGTACCTTAAAATTAACAAACAAACCCCTTGTCTTTGGACATTCCATCTGTTCCCTTCTCTCTCTCTCTCATTTTTCTATCTAATGCAGTAAACATAATAAATAACACTTCTGATTTACTAGCTCACAGCCACATAGATAAGCACCCCAACTTGAACTGTGGAGAATGTGATTTTACCCATTGCACAATGAGATTTCATTTCTCATTCTGCTCCTGCTAATAGCTGTTGCTGTTTCAGTGAGTCCCTCTCTGTGAATCCCATTCTCTGAAACAAGAGCTTAGTTCATAGAGGGGAAAGAAAGGCACCTGAAACTTCAGTGCTGTTACAAGATTGAATTTAGACCCTGTGCCAACAGCTTAGCTATGGTGGTGAGCTCCCATTTGTCCTGCAAGTAGTCAGACTGTCATCTGTGCATATGAGCCGTCATTACAGTACCAAGGTGCCATTCCAAAGTTTCAGGTGCATACATTGCAGCTTCCTCACTGAAATGACCTTGGAAAGCCTTGCTTCCTTTGGGCCCCAAAATCCAAAGCCAAAGCTGTCCTGGTCTGGTGACTTTCAGTTAGAATCATAATATTTATGGCTATGTTACCAATCACTGAAAAGCAGTGTGGCCTGTTCAACCGTAAACTAACCTGACCCTTACCCCTGCCCACTGGAATGGAGCCATCATCTCAGAGTGACCTCCATGGGTCTCAGAACAGTTCTCTTCCATTCTCATTAAACATACTTTATGACAGTGACTCCAGACACTGGAGTATCACTTATGTAAGCTAGTTGTATTTTTGTGAAGTTAGGTGCGTGTTGCTGCCCTTCCAGCTTTCCTTGAGGGTTTTGGTGTTGTTTTTTTTTCCCCTTAAATATTCCATTGTTATTACTTTACGTGATACTTTCTTTTTCATCGATATTCACTCCAATATGAACTGGATTCCAATCAACAAATCCTCACCAGTTTTCATCTTTTCTTTTTAAAGACCAGGAGACCAAAACTGCTTCTGAATCAAAAGCTTATGAGAACTTTTCCAGTTGATTCACACTTAGTCTTTTCTCCTCTTTTATTTTTGGAAATACTCCACTCTGGCCAAGTATGTGTTTACCCTGGGTTTGTGACTTTTAAACTTCATCCAAATGTCTGTAAAGAAAAATGTCAATGCAAAGCCCTTCTCTTTTGCATCTGAAATGTTGAATGAGTACAGATAAAGACATTTCTTTCTTTGCTCTTATTAACACGATCTTCATGTTTTTTCCAGTTTCATTTACATTAAACAGCTTTTCTTTCTTTCTTCATTTTTTTAGTGACAAAGGGTCTCTTCTCCTCTCTCCAGCCCAGTGTATTGTTTTTGATGGCTATGGGGGAAAGCAGAATTTTGCCCAGTGTACAGAATGCTGGACCAAGAATTCTTACAGTTGTCTTTTGACCTTGCTCCAATCTTACTGTGTAATATTGACCTTTTGATTCAGTATATCTGGGGTTTTCCTGGAGTATGGAATATGTTGTGAATTAGTTGCTGTCTGTCACCCAGTAGTGCTGTAGGACTTCTTTGCTGGTTACAGAGTGCTTTCAAAATACTTGACTGTAAGTTGTTAAAAGGTACAACGTGCCACTGAAACCAGTTATTACTAACAATGGCAAACTGTGCCTGTGCATCAGGAGAGGAGAACTGACTCTCAAGTTCTAACCTTGGCAGTTCTTTCAGTAAGGCTCTGGACTAGATTTGAGAAGGTATTTAAGCATTATCCTAGTTAATATTTCAAGACCTAAGAGATTTATGCTTTGGAGAATGAATTTATTCTTTTCAGAAAAGACCTAGAACTCTTAGTTCCCCAACATCTGCTGGTTTAAAATATGCAAAGAAATGCTGAAATACCTTTCAACCATCTGGACCAGTATTACTTACTAAGCATTCTATTCTCCTAGAAAATTGTGTGTGTCTACATTTAGCTGCCTTGTTAAACTTGATATCTTTCTCTGTGACTAATTTTTGGCATGTTTCCTTCTTCGTTATTTGCGGCTGCTGCCTGCATAGGACCTGCTAACTAACCCCTCCTCCTGTAAGCAGGTGAGTATCATTGTCTGCCTTCTGGTCCTCTTGCAGTGTGTGGGAAGGTGAAGTCCTGCACCATGCTGTTGTGGGGTCATGACTCATCTCACGCTACTCTTGCATATGCCCTTGCACCTCTGCTTTCTGGGCGGAGAAGGTGGTATGAAAAATTGCTTTAGTTGTATTAGCTCTGCAATAGGAAGTAATTCCTGTTCTTTCACTTAGCTATAACCTCACTGTGGTTTCTTCTGGTGTCTGTAGTCCCCTTTTTGATGATCCTGAGGAAAAAGACAAGGGACAAATTAGAATGTGAACTCTTCCTGAACTATAGTCATAGTGTCTCTAGTGCAGAACAAAAGAGGCTCTCAGGGAGCCTTCACTCCCACTGCTCCCATCTGTGGTCCATCTGCTTTGGACAGTACCGAAGTCTCCAGGTGTATTCAATAGCCACAGACTTTCTGATAAAGAAAATCTTTCTTTCTGTAGAACTGGAATGCACTTTAGTTGGGCAGAAGGATTTGTGCCAGCTGAGGAGCAGAAAGGCTAGGCTGGAGGAAAGCCTGCTTCATTTCAGACTGCTGAAACCCTCAGAAAGTTCCCCAAAAGACCGAAATGGTGTTTAGATGAAGTAGAGATATTAGACTGCCCACATGCCTTCCAACTGGCTACCTCTCAATTTCTTCATCATCTTAAGCAAAATTCTTGGCAACACTTTTGGGAAGAGCAATGCTCTCAGAAGAGGGTTGTTCAGATGTCATCACAAGTGTCTCTGGTGGCTTCAGAAGAAAGTAGTCCTCACCATGAGCGCTCAGGGAACTGTATTTGGAAAGTCTAGTCAGGGCCTCTGCCACAGGGTAAGGCTAATACATGGCTCTGGGCCATTTACTAGCTTTCATCATGGCAGCATGAACCATGATAGAAGTTAATGTGGTAGAAGTAGTTCCCTAAAGTACTGATAATTACTAGAACCTAGGGTGCTGCCGTGGTACCAGACCACAAAGTCTGCAGCTAACCAAAATCAAAGTGTATTTGAAACAGGGCAGCAATGCGGTGAATACATTCCACCTGTCTAGTCATTCCAGTACTGAAATCTTAGTTGATTTTTGAATTTGCAATTAAAATCTCAAATGTGAAATACTCTTTGAAGAACATAACATGATGTTTTCCCAGATAGAAAGCTGGTAAAGAATGACGGGATAAAGCTTAGGAATCTTGTGTGTCAGGTTGACAACAGCCCCAACTACTCCTGCTTTGTGTGCTTGGCCTGTCTCACAAAAGCTAGTCACTACTGCCCCCTTGCTCCTCTTCTTCTGTGTCTAGGAAAATGCAGATAGCCCATATGCAATCTGTTTTCCTTCAGCTAAGCTTCCAATCTGGCTTCAGTAAAACCTGAGGCTTCATCTGCTTTTGCTTATACACAACTCCAAGTATCTATAAATATCTCTCTCCTCAGTATGAGTTGAAAAAAATATATTTTTAGATGAGACTAGCCCACTCCTTATGACCAAGGAGTGGGCCACGTCTGAATAGTTCAGGTTATTCATTTATGTTGAACCTTGTGGGCTGGGGAATTGGAAATGGCCTGAGGACTATTATACCAATCTCTGCTGCGTAGCTTTAAGGGAAGCCGTCTAAACCCCCACCCCCCATACACAGCCAAACCCTGAAACAATTTGGGTTTTTCCTTGGGACGAGTACTGGTTAACATTAACCAGGTGTCCTTACCTGCAAACATTAAGTAGTGAGGGACAGTGAAGCTTTTAAACCAATAGCACTGACCATCAAGTGCCTTTCTTACCTTCAACAGCTACCTATCTTCCCATTCCCCTGTCTTCCTCCCCACAAACTGAGGAAGCTCAGGAAAATTTTGACATCTCTACATGGCAGATTATACTGGGGATGCCTTGCTTTTTGTATTGTTAGTTATTGTCTCCGAAATATTAAGCTTACCCAGTGCCTAATTTTTCCTTTTTTGGAAACACTATTTGGTGTATCAAGTAATGTTGCAATTTTTTTCTGCCAAGCTAGACACTTTGGGCACGTCCCACAGAACCATTGTGTTCATCTCTTCAGCTGATGCATTGTACCTGCTTACAAATACCACTTAGCATTGGTGGTGGCTCACTGCAGCACATTTGGATGTGGTTGTATGAATCCTTTGTATACCCAGAAGCAACAGAGTCTCACTGTAGCCGATTGTACCAAGAACTCAAATGACAACTAGTAATATGAATCTATGATGTACATTTAACTTTCAAATACTTGGGTGTCAGAATCTCTTTGACTGGATTAGTCATGCTGATATAAGTAAGCCTTGAGCTGCAGAACCTTGAGTCCTGGGAGTGAATTCTGGGAAGCACCACCGCATGCTATGATCTTACACCTTTCCCTGGGTATCTGCTGTTGACCACTCTCAGGGGCAGGATACTGGGGTAGATGAACCTTTTGATCTAACTCTGCGTGTTTGCTGTTATGTCCTAGCAAAGAAGTCCCATTTCTAATTTGATGGGGGCATTCAGAGCTACATTATACTGGTAAATCTCAAAATCTCAAGGCATGACAATATGGTTATCATGGAAAGGCATTTTTGAAGAGGTTCCAGAAGCAGTTAGCTGCGAAAATAAAAACTGTCCTGTTTCCAGTTCCTTCTTCTCTGTCGGTAACAAGAGTGCTATTATCCAGGATTAACACCTTTTATCACTACCTGTACTTCCCTTTAAGGAATGGTATTGAAAGGTACTCAGAGTAACTACAAAAAAACAATTTCTAGAAGCGAAACAAATCCCATGACTCTGGTGCATAAGCAGGAGACAGAGACTTCTGGATGGTCAGACTGGGTTTGCAAATAGTTTCTCTCTGTGTGCTATGACAAACATTTTGGATAGGGATTTTCCAGGTTTTTTAGGTGAGGAGTTTGGCAATGGGGATGTACAGAGAACTTTGAAAAAGGGTGGTTTCTGTACTATTAAAGGTATTAATTAATTTAAAAAAGAGAGGCTAATTCAGATGTAGAAGTTGACCATTTAGTAAGATACATTTGGTAAGATAAACACCATCTTGCCACTACTGTTTGCGTCTTTCATATAATACGGATTTGACTAGTCCAATATCAGCCTTAAGAGGTGATGGAAGTGTTTTTCCTGATTGTGCTGCAGCCTGTCAAGCATTCTGTGTAAGCCTTGCAGGAGGTATCTGCTGAACGATACGCTGTGACACCAGTGGGCTTTACCATAAGGTGCCCAATTTTCCTGTCATGCCAGTTTTGCACATTAGCATAATAATATAACTGTTGATAGAGTGAGTCCAACAGGTCAGAATCAGGTCCAGCATTTGTAGTCAAAGATGATCTCATAGGTGCTGATGAATGACTTCTGTCCATCTAGAAATACAGTATCTACCTACACATTTTCTGCCATTCTTGTCTCCTTTTCTCACCATGTGGGTGAATCTTCCCAGGCTGGGATGGGTTTTGTTCATTAGACTCAGCTAAGTCTGTCTTGGGTGAGAAACATAATACTGATTGTTTTCCCTCCCTTTTGAATTATACGCAGAAAGAGATGGGTTCAACAGAAGACCTTTACCTCTCCACACGAAAGGTGAAAGAGCTCTCTGTGATTGATGGCCGAAGGGCCCAGAATTGTGTCATTCTCCTTTCCAAGTAAGTGTGCTAAGCCTTAGCTCACAGGGTATGCCATGGTCAATGTAGAGGCAAGAGGGGGTGGAATAAAACAAATGGACATATTTCTTTTCCCAGCTAGACCTGCTGTCTAATACCCGCAGAGCTTCAGAGAGACCTCTGTTACAGTGTCACAAAAGCACATGTCTCTCTGAAATGTTAGGTCACTTAATAAGCATATGCTCACACACATTTTGTCCATTAAACAGATAGACACCAGGATGTATCTGAAGACTCATCACCAGAAAAGTATTGGTACTTATAGGTAGATGAAAGCAGCTTTTTGGCAGTGCTTGCACTTCACTCCAAGTGATGTGTCCCCCATGCTCTGTGTATGTCACCTGTCTCTGTTCTGTATGTTTCTTTTCAAATGTTGCTCTGAACATCTCCCTGGAATACAGCAGAGCTGAGAGTGATATTCATCTTTGTCATTTTTAACCGTTGATGAGAAAAGCGGTAAATGCAAGAAGACGTATTCAAGAATGAGGTTTTGTATTTTTAAATTAGGTTTTGGAAGCCAAGAGTTGCCTTTGAGTGCTCCCGCAGTGACTAATGCCTTCAAGTGTTGTGATATCAGGGCCCTCTATATTCTTTTTGTGTCTTTCAACCGACATGAGTACTGGGCTGGATGTCTGTCACTAAATACCAAATTTGTGCAGACATTGCTCCACCTGAGAAAATTGCCTTTTCTACCAGAGGAGGGACAACAGGGCTGGAGACAGGACCTGGGAAAGCTGTGGCAGTACTGAGCAATTCTCTAGAAAATTAATTATATCCCAGCCGAAACCAGGACAGCAATAAAACTGTTTCATGGATCAGTAGAAAATGTGGGTTCATATGGATGTAATTGCTTGTCTGCTCTAGCAAGCTAACAGTTAAAAGCAAAGTTGCAGCCAGACCACCAGGACTGGAGTGAGTTCTTTCCATTGCTTAGTGAAACCCACGGAGGCTCTCATTATGTTACTTATGTGGCATTAGCCTGCATGTCAGCAGGACCCCCACCATCCAAACCAGCAATGAGCGAAGGCTTACATTTCTCTCTCTGCAGCAGTTGCCAACACATGTCTTTGCTGGTGTTGGCAGCTGACTGCAGGCTGGGGCAGAGGAATAGGGAGGCACAGGGGCAACAGGATTTTCATGCTGTTTGACAGACCTGCTAAATTGTGTCTGGGGTGGTTCAGATTAACTCATGTAAGCAGATGGAACATTTTCTAGAAGTGGTAACATAATGTGTGCAGGTGATTGGGCTGAGGAGGGTCCAGGAAGGCAGTCCATGACTTGGTATGACACTAGATATTTATTTGTAAAAATCTTCTGTCTCCAAAACAAAAGCAGTGTGGATGGCAGCAGTATATGTTTTTCACCATTCACCTCTTCTGCTGTGCAAGTCTGGCATATTCTTACCTGAGAGGAATCCTCTCTAAACAGTGAAAGAGAGAAAGGACAGTCTCTGTGGTCTCTCTTCCCTTCTGCTGCCTCCAGCAAAGTGGCATTGAATCATGAACCCTGCACTTCAGCGTGTGTTTGCTCCAGGTGTGCCATGAAGCCAGTCCACCTCACATTGCTAGTCTGGACTCAAACCAGAGGTGAAAAGCTGTGTTTTGTGACTGTCAACATCTCCACTAGGAAATATCCTGGTCTTATTGTTAGGAGCCCAAATGTGGACGAAAGAGATTTGGAGACTGAGCTCGCTGTCGCTAAGGATCCTGCTAGTTTGCGTTGTGCCCTGTTAACTTTGCTGTGTTGTGTTATGGGAAACACCAGTCACCAGGGCTCTCACTGGCTTAGATCATTTAATGTTTGTAACAGGTAGTGTTCCACCCAGGATATCAGAAATATCTTAACAGCTTGGCCCAAGATTGCTATTCTTCCCCAAACTTTCCTTTTAAGTGCAACTAGAAAAGCAAAAACCTTTGGGAACTAAAATGGCACCTCTACATTCATGCCTTTTTCCGCTCTTTGTGCTTATATGGTTCTATTATTAAAGACAGCACTTGGGAGGATTGGCTGCAGACAATAATTGAAAAGCTTTTATGACCCCTTTGCAGTTTTTTTCATTACCCCACTTCAGGTTAGACCCTGAAGGAGAGACACTCCCAACCGAATCATCCCTGGCTACTGCCATGCCCTTGCTGCTCCTGAAGCGCACCTTACACATGTGTTCTTGTGGGTGTGCACACACGTGCAATGAGAGGGGATTTAAAACTGGTGACAAACAAAGAGAGTTTGTGCAACCCTGAGCTGCAGCCCCAGCTTTCAGGTTGCCACAGTATCTGCCAACAGCTGTTTCCAATTGACTCTTACTGTGCATATATCCCTGTAGTTTATTCCCCCTTTGTTTACACTAAACTGTCATGTCCTTTAAAGTAAAATAGCTGCATGGGTTGGGTTTTCTTTCCCTCCACTACTCAAATGTTTTTGTTTTACTAACACTGTGTTAGAAGGGGTCAGGCAGAGCTCATATTTCATATGGTCCAACAAGCCAAAACCTAGCTAGAGTGAGAAATAGATGTCTCTTGCTTTCTTTTGCAGAGGTACTGGAGCATTGTAGACTGAAAAGAGATGAAAATTGAATTGCTAGTTGACTTTTGCTGCCAGTTAACAGATTCATAAGCCTTCCTCCCCATTCTCATCTCTATTTTCATTAAAACAAGCTTTATTTTCATTTAAAAAGCTCTATTTCAACTACTTGATAGCAGCATCTTTCAGTTTTCCTGCACTGGAAGGATGTAATTGTCCTTGTTTAATGGAGTCTAATGGATGCAAAACCAAGTTTTGTCCCATAGGCCAACTGTAAAGGTTTGAATAGGCACAAGATCAGTTTATCTCACAGTATTTCCAGTAGGCCATAATTCAACCATGACATGGAACCATCTGTCTGTGGTGAGTCTGGGCGCCCACCAGCTTCAAATCTGGCCTTCTTAATGGTGTTTCCAACATACGGTTATTTCTGTCACACTGGAAATCTGCTATCCCTCATGAATTTCCTGATGTCTTCAGTTTCCACCAGGCTGGAGATTTACTGTCAGACTTGTGTGGTCTGGAAGAGTCATCCCAGACCCCTGTGTTTCCCTGCTTTCACCTAGCAGCTGGAAATTTCTGTGACCTCTCTCACCAGTATGGCTTCTCCCTGCCTCCATTACTTAAGTAACGGGTAGTATTTTTGCTACTCTGGTGTTTTTGTTGTACCATATCTTTAAATATTCTTGCAGAACATGCCTAAGACATGTATCTCTTACTGTCTTGCTCTGTGAAATGCTCTGGAGAGGTCCAGTTCTATGAGACACATTGCACAGAAGGCTGAATGTATACTTATGGAACTTCTTTTTGCAAGTTATTTTGCATGAATTCCAGCAAAATCATTATGTCAGTGTTCTTCTGAGATGTGTTTGTTATTCCTATGGCCCAGCTAGCCAGCAATAACGCTCTCAAGAGGCTGGAAACAGTGGGAATGCTAGCAAAATGTCATAAAACCAGTAGTAGCGGAAGGCAGAATCTGACTACACAAAAATAGTTTTAAATGTGAGTATGACAGTAGATAGATGCTAGCAAGCAGCTTTACCAAATGTTTGTGGCTTTCATGATTGTCAATTCAAACACATATCAATAAGGGAGAAGAAAAGGAACTTGTGCAGCATTTCCAACCAGAATACTAAAGAGACCGAGTATTTCTCTCACATAGCTGTGCCTCCTCAGTGCTTCTAAACCCTTCCAGTTCAGACATTAAGAGGACAAGCTATTCAGCCAGTGCCAGTCTCCATGTACTGCTCTGCTGTGTCCCCAATTCTGTGTGCCTTTCTGTCATGTGACAATACAGTGTTCATCCCTGTTTCAAGGTAGATTCCAAGCAGTATGATATTTTGTGGTACAGATCATATCTTGATACAGAAACAGCTCTTTGGACTCAGCAGTTCAGTTCCTCAGTGTGCTGTCTCGAAAAACACTAGGCAATAAACAGTGCCTCCTGTGTTCCTGGAGAGATTTTCTGTTTTTAAGTTAAGGTCTACAATAAGCGTCTTCACCTGCTATTCTGAGTATGATAAACCCCAAGGTTAAGCTGAACATGTCAGTCGGTGCCATCCTATCTTGGATCACAACTAGGAACTAGTACCTAGGGTTGTGATAAAAGATGAACCACTGCTTTATCAGTATGTTACTGTAATTTGAGGATTCCCAAGTTTGCCCCTGCTTTTTCTTGGCTCAGAAAGACAACCATCCCCTATTCCTTCTTGGTAGGAAATTGAGAGTGTTTGGATGCAAAGTAGCTTGGTCACTCATGAGTTTTGCTGAAGGAGGAAAAGAAAAGAAAATAAAAGAAAAGAAAAGCCTGTTTCTTTATCCACTTGGCAGAATACTTTCACAGTGAAGTCCTGAAAAGGCACTGGTGGATTTTTTCCCAACGTGTTGATATAATGGTGTAAGATGTACCTGGTAAAATGTCTTGACTATCATCCCCAAAATGTTAAGGCAGTGTCTTCTTCAATGACAAGATGAGTTGGCAGCTGAGATAAGAGGATGTGAAAAGAGTGGCTGCATCTTTCTGTCTTCTGAGTGAACGTGCAGTTAGACCAGCCTGGCTTCTGAATGATTCTTCTGAGAGCTGGGAAATATCTCCTTTTCCTGCCTTCATGGGGTAGTGACAATGAGTATTCCCAAAACATAGATATTTAACAGCCTGCAGCTTGGTAGTTGTACAGAGCCTTAGGAGAGCTCAGGGGTTAGAGAAGGCTTATGTCCCAGTCACAAAGTTTGAGAGTGAATTGACTAGTAGCCTGTGTGAAATGAGTTGTGGAGATGGAGAACTCTGCAATGAGTTAAAACTAAGATTTGAGTGAGCTATGCAAACTGGCCTTAGGATACAGCTAAGTATCAGCCAGTGCATCTCACTGTCACAGCTACTACTGTTGGCAGCTTTTGGAAGCACTGTGGTTCGGTTCAGTTTGAAGTAGAAAATGGCCTTGATACATGATAATCGGTCCCCTTCTCCAAGATAAAAGGAAGAGTGGGATTGCAGTCCCTGTGGTATGGGAGCTTAATGTAGCTGCAATGAAAATCCGGGTTCTCTGGTAGTAGGCAAGCATGCTTCTTTCTCAAAAGCTAAGCAAGATCCAAGGAACAAGCCCATGAAGTAACTCACTTTTTCCTCTGAGGGGGAGATCATTAAGGAGCAACAAGTATTCTCCTTTGATCCATGGGAGGGAGGAATGAAGGGGGAGGTTACTGTGAGTGAAATCAATGGGTATATTTAAGGAAGGAAAATGAGCGAGCACTGGACGTCTGTAAGGGAAGTTGATGTAAAACTGCAACATGTCTCCCAGGCATGTTCAGAGTCAGGCTGCCGGCCTTCTCCAAGAGGACGAAACAATAAACCACTTGATGTCTGCAAGTGAAGCTGGTGTTAAATCAGCCGAGGTGTCCTGGGGAGATTAGTGATGAATTACTCTGCAGAGTCAATAGAGATTATTTATGAAGCCGGAGGGGATAGGGGGAGGCAGGCTAAGTACCATATCAGAAGTTATTTGGTACTTGTTGAGCTTTAACATTGCTTGAAGATGACTCAGGCAGTTGGACTTCCATATGCTGCCACCAGATGTACGAGTGAGGGAAGGAGGGAGTATTCTCAGTAAAGATCCTTTTCCTTCCTCATCTGACCAGTGTCAGCCTGCTGTTGGAACAAAAACAGTCAATATCTGCATTATGAATGAATGTGCTGCAACTGAGGAAAGGGGCACTGTGTTTTCTTCTGGTCACATTTACTTCCTGAGTTCTGACGCCAGGATCCGTGATTTGGTGAAGTATAAGGCAGAGGGAATACAGCTTGAATTGTATGCTGTTCTGAATTCAGTTGTCTCCAGCAGCTGGAGGAAGAGTGCCTGGATCTGCAAAGCTTGTAAGAAAGTCATTGCAGACTTTCCAATAGATACTGAAATGTAATTTCTGTAGTGTAAATTTTTGGGCCATAATTCCACTTTAATTTGCTGTCTGTCCCATATGAGTTTTAAGCTCTGAGGGATGCCTCTATTCAGTTCTAAATGGAAAGATTTTACGCATCTGCTTTAGGTTCCTCTTTAATCAGTTCACCTGTTTCTGTTTAAAAGCAGCACATCTGTTTTACATTACTGCTGGCCATCTTTCAGATCTACTGCATGGCTGGGCATGAGTTTTGAAAATACAAGAATCACTTGATTAACAATTCTTTGGCCAGTTATTCAGCCAGTTTTTAAGTGGGAAGATCCCTGTATTGTTCTGTTGATGCTTAAAGCTCTTGAAATACGTCCTGCTCCAGAAGAAGAACAAGTCCACTTTGGAAGAGTAAGATTGTTTTGCTGTAAATCCTTCTGTACTTGTAATTGGGTTGGTAATAATCTAGGATGCACACCTGCAGTCATGGTGACCCCATTACAGGCCTGTAGGTGACTAAGGGAAACTGCTTCTCGGCAGGAGGCTGGCAAGTTTTCGGCTTCTTTCTACTGTGGGCTTAACCATTCAAGACAGATGTTTTTCTGTTGATAGCAGGGCACAGAATCATCCAAGAAATCAAAGTGTTTGTGAAACTGTCTGTCCTTGGGGGTCTCAATTGTTTTTGAACAGAAGTAGTTTCCAAGTGTGTTTAGTGCTGATGAACGGCAGCAAAGAGAGGAGCTTGGAGTCTGAAGTCCTCAGACTCCTGGACAGAAGAGCAAGACCAGCAATAATAGGTGCCACACCTTCTGTTGTGTTGACGTACCTCAAATCTGTCAATTTGGTTCTGTTTACTGCATCCCCACACACACACAGAGGTACTTGCACTGTGCAATGGGGTGGTCAGTGCAGTAAGTGCTTGAGTTATTTGCATGGAAAAAACATGAAACTCTCCCTCATTCTTTTTATCCTCAGTGAAAGTAACATCAACAACAAAAAAACCCATCCTGGCGTTCATGGGTTGGCTTACTGCATCCCCTCTGACAGGCTGTGTGCCTGTGTTACAAGACACAGCTAATCCGCGGACTCGAGATTCTGGAAAATGTAAAGGTGCTCTCTAAAGGGAAAATAACCAACAAAATATAGCAGTTCAAAAACTGCCAGCACCAAATTGTCTAGGCATGTGTGTAGGTGTCTGCTAGGAGCCAGTCCCACACCCACCAATATGCTTCTCAGCCCTCATGGTCACAGAGTTTGATCAGTTCAGGGTCACACAACCATGGACTTTACAATTCATGATTATTAAATCCAAAAGAAACCCTTCAGTTTTCTGATTGAGACTGTAGAGCTTTATGCAGAATCCCACATACTGAAGTTTGTTGTTTTGATCTCGAGTCAAACTGATGACCTAAAGTAAAAAGTTTCCAGCCTTTTCATTGTAAAACTTCTAATCCTTACATCTCATCTGAGCGTGGCCCAATTACGTAGCTTTTCTGGAAAGTCAGTAGCTTTATGTTACTTAGCTGGTAGCAGTTTGCCCTTCTTGTCAAAAGCCGAAGCGATGACCAGCTAGGAACAGAGTGACAGCAATTAGTTCAGAGGTGTAATATTTAAAAGCTTTTAAATGTCTGCTGATTCATATTTTAGTTTCCAGCTGTTGGTTATATTGGGCAATATTAAAATGTTTTAAGTTTCTTAGATTTAGTAGTATTTCCTGTCTGTAAAAATAAAGCTCTTTCTTTTGCTTTTACCTAGTTCCAAAAATATGATTCTATCCAAATGGCAATAGCAATGTGAAATTTCAACATGGGATTTCTTAGCACTGAAGACAAAAACATTCTGCCTTATGCATCAGTCTGTCTCTCATTTATATTTGCATTTTCTATTTCTGCTGTTAATTAATTATGTTGATTGTAGAATGTCCATGGAGACTGCAGACTTCACTCCTCAAATATTTCTTTTCCCACTTTCCTGTTTCAGTCCCAAAATCAAGATTTTCTTGTGGATAGCCTTTCCTTTATGGTTCATTTGGTCCTCCCCTACTCTCCTGAAATGACTGATGAGGGTGTCATGGGTTGGGGGTGGTGGGGTAGAATTTGTCACTTGTGCATTTCTTCATTGACATCTGCATTGAGAACCACTGAGTTCATTTCATGTAACCTATCAAACAACCTCTCAATAATCACAAATTTTGACTCCTCCTGGTCTGCCCTGGATTTCAAGTGAAGACCTTGAGAGGCTTTTTTTTATTGATTCTATGTTTTGTTGTAACTGATGATCCCTACTGATTGCACAGAGATGAACAGGAGAAGGTGGGAAGGAGAGTGTAATTTTAATACCTCAGAAAATATTAATAAACTCTGGTTTTCAGAGCTTGTTTCATATTGGATATGAAACGTGGATACGTAGATGCTGTCAATTCCTTCCTCAGCTGTGACTGCTGACAGAGTGAACTTACCTGGCAGAACCAGTCTTCTTACAAGAAACCCTGTTTTCAGATCTGTAAGGGAAAGATCAGTCCCATTACTTGTTATTCTGGGAGAAGCTTTAATATTCACAAGCCAGGCTGTTACATGGGCTCACAGTCACTTACAAGTCATCTGGATTTGAGGGGTTTTAATATAGCAAAAGAACTTGATGAGGGAGGTATCTGATACGAGTGAAGCTGGAAGCACTTTTGATCTCTGAGGACCTGATTGTTCCTAATGACTATCTAATTTTTGATGTGTGTTTGATTAGCTGAAGAGGATAAAAATATATGGTCTATAAAATCTCTGCCTTTGGAGTGGATTCTTTCATCTTACTGAATACTCTAAAATAGCGGCTTTATAGTAGAGCTTCCCATGGTTCTTTTGTGCTTTTTTAGTGCTCCCTACTTTCTGAATTGTCAGAGTCACTTAAGCTTTGCACTAATGGTACAATGTTGATACTGTTGAAAGGCTGAAGCTGTCTAATGAAGAAATCAGACAAGCAATCTTGAAGATGGATGAACAAGAAGACCTAGCAAAAGATATGCTTGAGCAGGTGAGAAAGATTACAGTCAGATATATCTTATTCTTAAGTCTTTCACTGCCTTTTTTTCACCTAAAGTAAGTGGTTACATATACTGGCTCTGCTGATGTGTCTGCAGATCTGAACTTGGACCTTTCATGTCAGTGGAGCTGCAAATGGGAGCATGAGAAAAGTATTTTTCCCAATGTTGTCAGATATATCTGCCTCATGTAACTCTGTTTGTATCAGGTTGATTTCATAACAGTTTTCTCTTCTTGTTGCAAAATAAGCATGATTACAGTTGGTATGAGGTTTCCTTTCACGTCCTTTCTTCTCACCCATGGCTTTTCCATAATTTTTCCCATCTCTTCTTTATACTGCTAATTTTTTTTTGATGGTTGTTATTCTTCTTTTCTTTTTTCTTTTCTTTTCCTTAATCTCCCTTCTCTGCCCACAGCTTTTCCATTGGGAAATGCCATGAACTGAGCCATGTAAGTCAATGGTTAGACTAGAAGGGATCTCGTATTCTAACTAGAACGGTTAGAAAGGGAGTCGGGGACTTCTGTCCCCTGCCGTTGGTTCACTGCATAGTTTGTGAGGAAAAAAACCCACAATTAAATCACCATTGCCCAATTTCCTCTATTTACAGAGGGTGAAAGATGATGCTTTGACCAAAGATGCATATGATGAAGTTCCTTAGGAGTGCACAAAATGTTGTAATTTTGAGCTGCCTGACAAAAGGGATTCCTTCTTTGTGTTCAGTCACAGCATTTAATTGTGTACAAAAAGCTTTTCTATTTTGGAAATTTATGGCCTACTTGTCATGTTGTCTGAATGCTCACAGCTGCTCTGGAAGTCACTGCAAGCTTCTGATGCTCCACACCTTTGTAAATCGCATTTTTAGGGAGTGGGATAAAATAGTAAAAAGTGGTAAAAAGCAAAGTTCTTGATATGCCTTGTGAGCAGTTTCCGTGGGTGTGCACTGAGGCTGTGTGCATGGCAATATTTATAACAATACTAAAGCACAACTACCACCAGATACGTCAAAAATCTGTCAAAGTATGAGCTTTTAAGGTCAGCGTATGAATAGCAGCCAGTGTCAGACACATATCCAGTTGCTTGGTTATTGTTTATTGTTTCAGCAGAGTAGGGCAGACCCAAGAGAGAGATAGATGAGGCTTTGTGTGTACTCTAGGATAGGCACGATGGATACTTCACACTGAGTGGGACACATCCTGCTCTTGTTTGCACCAATCTAAACTCCAAGTAATGCTGTGGGAATCAAAGTTCTCTCTGTACTTCCCCTTGGGTAAGTTGCAGTAGGACTCGGCCTTTAGAATTTAGAAATGGGAAATTCCCCATAGAATTAAAAATTAATCTAATGGGGTCAGTGAGGGATAAAGACAGAACAGCAAGCAAAGTTTAAAAGAGGTCAGTTTTGTAGCCACAGCTGCACTTTTTTGAAGTTACGGTCACATGGCTGAGTCAACATAATGCTTCTCCATGGCAGCAGAGAAATCTGAGGGCCCTCTCCCTCTCCATCAGAGTTTATTTGTGCCTCGCTGTCCCTCTCACCTTTTCCCTGCATCTCTCATCTCGGTGTTTGGTTTGTGTCTGTCATTTCAGCTCCTGAAGTTCGTTCCTGAAAAGAGTGATACCGACCTGTTGGAGGAGCATAAACATGAAATTGAGCGCATGGCCCGGGCGGATCGTTTCCTCTTTGAAATGAGCAGGTCTGTTTGATACATTATGGGAAAGTGCATGGAGGGCTTCTTGGAAGCAGCTGTAATTGTTATTGAAAATGGATCATCTGGCATCGAGGGGGAATGTGCAAGAGATTGTGGGCCAGCATTATACCCTGCGTTTGCCAGAAGCCCACAAATGTTACAAATGTTTCCGTTCATTACACAAACTTTTTATTGACGATAAGCACTCTCTGTGCTGTCGTTTAAGGACCAGTCCCCTGATGACAAGCAGAAATCTGCCTCCTCTGCCTAAACTTGTTCACAAAAAGGAATTCAGATCCAACTATCAGATGTAGTGTAGCCAGAGGTCAGGATTTCATGTAGATCCCTTTTTCCATTCAGGTATGCCATCTCCTCATCTTCTGACCTTCTTTCTTGTTCCAACTTCCCTATACCCTCGATCCGGATTAATGTTTTGTTCTGCTAATTGAGATGCAGCTGGCATCTCCCATGACTCTCCTATTTTGAGAGTAATGGGAATTCTTCCAGCTCCTTTTCAGTTGTCATCAAAACATGCCTTGAGGTCCTCCTTTTTCATAACAAGGTTGATTACGTAGTGTTAGATGTTTGAACTATGTGCGTAATCCCAAGCATAGGCCTTGTGGGACTCAACATCCAACCATTAGATTACGTAGGCAGCATACTGGCCCTGGGCTTCAAAAATACAGTTCCAGTTCAGTGTTGGCTTTCCTCTACCCCTCATGCAGGATTGACCACTATCAGCAGCGGCTGCAAGCATTATTCTTTAAGAAGAAGTTTCCAGAGAGGCTGGCAGAAGCGAAACCAAAAGCGGAAGGTATGGTTAAAACTTTTGCTAAGAATTGGATAGAGGGGCAGGGAAGGTCAAGAGAGGCTTGTCTTCAAAGGAGGTGCTGTTACATATGTGCTGTGGTTGTAGAGCCAGTGAGTCCAAGGCATGTCATGTGCTAAGAAATGAATCGCTCTTCTTGCACTCATTCACTTAATAAAGTCAGTCTCATGATTGTTACTCTGTAAATATCACTTGACAGATGTGACAGCATGCTACAAGGCTGTGCTGAGCTGCCAAAAGCTTTCATGGCCTTTCTGTGCAGGCCAGCCTTCCCTTCTCACCCTCAAGTCCTTGCGCCTTCCTTCTCTATGGCACACTTAGAATAGATGCCTTGGGACGGTGGTATTCTGGGAATGTGTACCTTATAAGGAAGAGGGGTGGTGGCTTCTGTGCCACATCCATGGGCATCGCAGAGAAGAGATGAATGTATTCTACTCTGCATTTTCAGATGAGCTCAAGCCTTCCTCCTGTTCTCGCTGGCTGTGTTTTTACAGTGTGAGGTCCAGGAGAACAGCCTTGCTCCTGGATTCAGAGGAGCATCCTACAAGCTAGATGTAGTGCGTCTTCCTTCCAGTTGCCCTGGTTCTGGGCACACGGGTGCAGAAGGACAGTACACACACAGATCATGTTGCAGCATTTGCTGGGCAATAGTCAAATGGGCATTTTAGGGTACTTCAAATTATGGGCCCAAGCATGTTAAAAACAGCCACAGTGCAATAACGTGTTTTTTTGTTTTTTTTTTCTCTTTTCTAGCCATTCTTCTGGCATCCAGAGAACTTATCCGAAGCAAGCGTTTGAGGCAACTCCTGGAGGTAGTTCTGGCCTTTGGGAATTATATGAACAAGGGCCAAAGGGGAAGTGCTTATGGCTTCAAAGTCTCCAGCTTGAACAAAATTGCAGACACCAAATCCAGCATAGACAGGTAGGCTAGAAGGCCTTAAATGAGTTCGTTACTGTGCTTCTGCATCTCTTATCATAGTAACGAAAGTGGTTTTGGTTTGTTTTTAGCTCTGTCGACCATTTAAAATAATGTCTTATTTGGCATTTAAGTAGTGCTTTTCACTCTAAAAGATCCTGCAGCAGTTAAGACCGGCTGTTAAAACAGCACTCAGATTCTGCTGTTTCATTGGGTAATGCACATCTGTTGTTGGATTGTGTTTCTGCAACACTATGCAAAGATGACAAAATGTAGTATTTCACAAATAACTGAAATAAGTTTGGGAAGAGGAGGATTTCTATGGAATTTGCCCTTTATATCAAAGTTTTATGGCCATGGTTTTGCAAAAAAGAAAACAGAAAAAACTCTGACCAGAGTTTTATAAGTCTCCTGTGAAACATGGCATATGTTTCTGATGCAAGACTGTCATAAACTGGCTCTGTACCTACATCAGTAATGGAACCAAAAGGCATAGGTCAGAGACTGAGCCTTGTTGTATCTAGGGCAGTTAAGGAAAATAGCTGGTTTTCGGAAGGTGGACCTTACTATTTAAGGACATGGGCTGCAGGTCTTTGTAGTGCTACCCATGTTTTGCCCCACATCCCCGTACTGGTTCTGGAAATTAATCCAGCTGGGAGAGAATACCACTTCTGGGCTCCACCAGCACTAAGGTTTTCCTTGGAGTTCTCCTATACTGGTTCTTACTAACTCGCACCTTCCTTGACTTGTGAGGCCTGCTGAGACCATAGCTGTGGTGAAATGACTACAGGCTGTGACAGAATGAATAATGGCAGTAAGAAGCCATAGGAAATTCATCCCTACCAATAGAGTTTGAACTAGCAGAGTTCTGTTTTGACTACCACAATATCCTTTCCGTATTCCAAGGCTAACACTTCTGTAGCTAGTGTTGAACATTTTTTTGCCTTAATGTAGCTTGGCTTGATTTTCCATATATTAAATGTCCTGTGCAGATTCTGTTCTCTCACCAGTTCCCAACTCCCAGGCTCTAGTCTGTGTGAAGCAGTGGCCGTCTGCTGTCTTGTCTGTCAGTTAACTGCATAACACCCACCTCAAGTAGCTGTTATGGCTGGTTGTTCTCTCTAAATGCAAAATTCACTGATGCAAAATTCACTGATGCAAAATTCACAATTTACTTTAGAAATTTTCTTAAACCTTCTCCTGCATCTCTCATACATCTCACTTCTATCGACTCCTACTTAAACTGCCATTGCTTTTGCAGTAGTGAGCCTGACCACTACTCCTAAGTATAGCTGTTTCATTACTGTAGGAGTTTTCTTCGCAGTTTCTTCAATCTTCAAGAACTTTTTCCTCTTCTTAGTTAACTTTTAGTTTTTTTCCACATTGGCTCTGAGAACAACTCCCTCTCCCTCATGAGTTAATGTCACTTTAGTACTATTAGTTGTTTATTCTCTGAAGTATCTAGGGACAAATATTATACTCTGTTACACAATTGTCTTTTCTGTTACATCATCTACACAGATGGATGGAAGCATGCTGGTGTGTCCAGAATAGATCAAGGCACAATCATTGCTTGAGGTTTAGGAAGGATGGTTCATAAAGGGCTAATTCATTTCAGTCTGTGATACTTTTCTCTCAATAACAGAGCTGCTAACTGCTGATATAGTTTGTTTTGTTCATTCAAGCACATTTCCTGCCCAAAGATTTTTCGCTGATTTATCACAAACCTCCTACCATCCTTTACCTTCTCACCACCATTTTCCTTCTCATTTCTCCCTTCTTTGTTTTTTTTTAGGAATATTACACTGTTGCATTACTTAATTATGATCTTTGAAAAAAATTATCCAGATATCCTAGATATTCAGTCTGAGTTGCAGCATCTTCCAGAAGCAGCAAAAGTCAAGTAAGTCCAGTGCTATTGCTTGTTCCCAGTGATTTCTGTTAACCTAATGATCATCATTTTTTTTGTTGCTGTCTTCTAAACTCATCGTCCGCCTTACGTCTGAAATGCCTTTGCTCACGTCCTTGATGTTATTCAGATGTACATCAACAGAGAATTTTGATCCCAAAACATTTGTGGATAACTAAATCGACAGCTTTATTCAGATATGCCTATGCCTACTTTATTTCTGAATCAGACATTGTAACTAGACTGGTTGTTGTTTGTAATTCACTCACCATATTCTATGGTTGTTCATCTAAGTCACACGTTATTTTTTCTGGATAACTGAAGGTTTGACTCTAAGGCAGAGTCTATAGTAAGCCCTTTTCAGGAAGATTGTTCAAACTTTTGCATGAACCGGTCTCACATAGAAATGTGGAAAGCATCATACTTTCTGCACAACTTTAAATTATTTTTTTTTCATTTCTGTAGGTGTCTGTGGAAAATGAATATACAAGCCATCCCCTAAAATACTAGCATTTTTTATTTCCAAAGCACTGCTCAAAAATACTTTTGCATATTATTTGCCCAGCCATGATTCTTTGTATAGGTAACTACTCCAACTAATGAAAGGCAAGTGAAAATTAAATGTTGGTTCACATTTAAAGGCATTTATTAAGGTTTTAGTGGTGTTTTTGAGATGTAAAGTATTGTTCACCAAATCAGCAGGAGATACCTGCTGATTCACAAATAGGTACTAACGAGTTACCTGGAAATGAAAAGTCATTTTTTTCATACAAGTCCTAGAAAAAAACTCTTGTTTGTATATGATGAGCAGAAACTCAGTACAACACTTGTGTCTAGGGAAGTGGAAGCATGTATTAACATTAACAATAGGGTTATATACTCAGTTACAATGTAGTCTTGCAAGGACTACCATACGGTAGAAATGCAGATGGAAAAAACAATATTTGGACAGTGAGGAAGACAAAAATCACATGTAAATGTACTCCTAATGGGATTTAGTAGTTAAGTGGTTCAAGAATCGTATGTAGAGATAATCTGAGACCCCAGTAATGTGTGTGCTAAAGCTGGGGTCCTTGCTTCTGTGTCAGCTGATGATTGCAGGCTGGCCATGTGTCATACACTCCTTGCTGGAGGGTCAGACTCAGCTCACAGGGCAGATGTTCTGAGGGCAACCCCCCTCTTCCCAGGAAAATCCCGGTCTTCAGCATGACCACAGGCGAGCAGGATCTGCCTCATCTTACATCTCATACAAAAAGGAGCACAGAGTATTAACAGATCCCCTTCCCCTCATTTCTAATCATCTGACGTGGCTGGTGCCAGAGGCCGGATACCAGACTTGATGGGCCAATGGTCTCTTCTGCTGCACAGTTCCTGTAATCCTGTGTAACACTGCTCTTTTTGTTTTATCTGCTCTGTGTCTGTCTCCTGTGCAGCCTGGTAGAGCTGGAGAAGGAAGTCAACAACATAAAGACCGGATTGAAAGCTGTTGAAGCTGTAAGTATCTGAAGGTTTCCAAAGCACCATACTTAAAATATCTCACTCAGAATCAGGGGCACTATATATTTTATGATAAGAGAAAGTGGGCTTTCTTTTTCCGTTCCTTTCCATTCTGTTCCAGAATGCATTAACCAAGAAAAAACAAATAAAAGCTTCTCATGTGGAGCTCCTGCTGATGATCTTAGCAGACTTAAGCCTAATGAAAAGCTTGTTTGATCTCAGCCTGGAAAGTAAAAGGACAGTTTGACAAATAGTGTGGACTGAAAGAAGAAATAAAATTCTTGCTATTTCTTACTGAGGGATGGCTGGCTGCTAAGCAAGTGTTTCACATGGCTCTTGGAGTAGTAGTAAATAGGTTGTGCACTGTTATATGCAACCCTAACCTATCCTAAGCACTCCTTGGGAAGGCAAAGCAAAAGATAGACTAGTTAAAGGTGAGGGAGCTGAGCCGGCAAGCAAAGCAACAATGGTGTTTTTCCCTGCTGTTAGTGAAAGCCTTTTAAGCTGGACTTATGTTGCCTGTGTTCAATTTGTACTTAGGTAGTACAGAGCCTTCCGTCTCAGCAGGGAACAGTACAAATGGTGCATTGATGCAGTTGTGTGTACTAAATTATAAGAGTTAATGGTAAGGCATGGGCCTAAATGCTCCTTGGAGTGACAAGTTCCTGTGTCAGCTGTGGTTCCCGTACCTGGAAGCCTGCTTTAGTTTAGGGTTGGGTTTGTTCCTGGGCAAAGAGTCCAGCCTTCCTGAGGCAGGAGAGCACAGAGCAGGACAACGTGTTCAGTGGCAGGAGGTGGGAAATCTTATATTTGCCTCTTGTTTGTGCCATTGACATATGTGCGTGGCTTTGAACAGCCCCACATGTTTGCTTTCTCTCTGTGAAATGGCAGCTACAAATTCCTACTTCTCACAAGGGCTGATGTGAGGAACATCCAGTTAGTGTTTGCACAGCAGCTGAAAAAGTAAAGATTAAAGTCTAAAGTCATCCTATTGTCTCTGTCCCTTAACTTCTCCCATCACCTGCACAGATAAGCATATTCTGACCCTAAGAACGTCATTCTCTCTTTCTGCAAGTATAGGAATAAAATCCTATGTTCAGGTTGGTGCTGGCATCTCTTGCCTGCTGGGTGTACTAGGGCAAGGGGAGTGCTGAGAGACAAGGCAGAGGTCTTTGGAACTCAAGAGGGTCCCTGCCATGTTTAGCTGTTCTTTGCCCTTTCAAACAAGGTTTTATTAGCCATGCTTTTCAGTGTCCCTCTGTCTGCGGGATGTTTTACCTGTCCTTTTCAATTCATGTCAGTTTAATGCTAGTGGAGCATTCCAAATGAGGAGCATTCTGCACTGGGACTGATGGCAAAGGGACCAGTTGTGGGGAATTGCATTGGGTTGTTTCTATGCAAGGATTACCTGTCTACAAGGAACTAACACAGGACTCTCCAGTTCTCATTCACTATGAGACAGACAGTGATGACTTCATTTTCCTTTCACCCGGCCTGAGTTTGATTTGTGTCTAGGGATAAAGGAAGGGATCTTAGTCCTGTCAGTGGCTCCCAGGCTGTCTGGCTGTCTCCAGCAGTTCATCGCATAATTAGCCAGTGAGCCTCCCACAAAAAAACGAACTTTCCAAACCTTATTTCTGGATTGTTGGGGTAAGGGAGAACGCAGCAATGAGAAAAGATACTGGTGCATATATGGAGTGCAATGTTTGGGAATTAAAAGCACCTGTAAAGGGAAGGCTGACATAGAGTTCACGACATGAAGAGAGGCCCAGTTTTGGCTGGGACAGACAATTCCCCCCATTGAAATGTGAGTATCTACTTCTGTTTTGCTTTCTGTGATTGGGTTATTTGTCCTTTTGGCTTTACAGCTAATTTTTCTTCTCTTTCCCATACATGGGTTCCATGGGCAAACTCTCCTTCCCATTCAATCACCATCTTCCCTCCTCAGTCTTCTCCCTGCCATGATATTTTTCATCTGGGGCTGCCAGCACCTCCCAGTCTGCTTGCTCAATTCGTGGTTTTCTGGCGTGTGAAAAGCAGCACTACAGCAACAATAGAAGATCACTGTCAGGTGGAAGGGGGAGGAGGGGAAGGTGTGATTCTTGATTCTATTCCAGTGTGTTCTCACCACAGCCTTGGCTCCAGTGCCTGAGAAGTTTCTTCAAGGCCCCTTAAGAATAGAAAGCTAAAAATAGTTTCACAGTCAGATGTTCTTAAAGGCATTACTAACCCTTTGCCTTCCTGGACTTGCAGCTTCTTTGAAAAAATAAGACATATTCATTTTCAAGACATGCATGCAGCTGTTGCCTTTGTGTAGGATGCTCCCAGAAGGACAGCTAAGTAGTTCTTGGTATTCTCCAAATCGGAAAGTGAATTCTGTCAGCAGAGCCCGTCTCTCACACAGCAAGGAGATGATAACTACCGCTTGAGAATCCACTGCCATGGCTGAATCATTTCATCTCTCTAGAGAACCAGCAGCCCAGCCCACCAGGGGCAGTGCTAGCTTTTGCTGTTGTGCTGTTATGATGAGTATAGACTATTTCTGGAAGACACAGAGGAGTTTCTTATTCTCTGACATTGCTCTTGGGCTGATTACGTAGTCATGGTGGTTAGTTGTGTGGGTTTTTTTATTTTGGAAGAATTATTCTGCAGGGAAGGACTGAATTTGAAATTGAGGGGCAGACCACCTAATCTTAATTTTACTTCAAAAAACATTGCTCTCCAGTAACAGTCTCAAATGCCAAAGCTTTCAACAGTGAGTAAGATGACAGAACTGTTACACTCACCTGCTTGGGGAGGCAGGGGAGGAGGGGATAGAGCAACTTTCAGCTAAAATTACCTTAAAAATTAGAATGGGAAAGAATGGCTGAAAAAATATAATACGCATAATTCTTAGAAGCATATGAAGTGACGTTTCTTGTACTTGTAAGGTCCAGTTCAAAGTGATTGTAACATAGAGACAATTCATTGCAAAGTGATGTAACTGAGCAGTGCTCCTGGGACCGTCCCTTGTGATCTGTTAGTGGAGAAGAGGATGTAATATAAAGCAGGGGAAGTAGCACTTCTTTAATGTGGACTTTTCTCCGGCCACCTGCTCATTACTTTTCCTGCCTCCTTTCTGCCTTGTGGTCTCTCCTTGTAGTGGTTACATTCTCTCTCCAACTCACATCAGATCAGAAGATATATCACATGTGATTTTAGATTGTTGATGGCCAAAGTCATTCTTTGCATTCAACAGCACCATGGAGCAAATCCCAAGGAGTTTCTCAGCACAGATGCTTATAAACCTACCCATTTGGCTCTGTGAACCAGTATTTTGATGACCAGTAACAGAGAGCACCAAATATGCATGTAGCTGCAGCCAGCACGAAAATATTTTTTTCCAAAGGGAACAGAGGGTCAGATTGTAACTTGACCTGCTGTTTCATGCTGCTTTCTCTACAGAGAAAGTAAGGCTTGATCATTCCCACTGATTATTCAGCTGAGAATAAAGATGAGGCCCAGATTATGATTTCATTGTCCCCATGAGACTGTCAACAGCTCACAAGCCAAGCACAGGCACGGGAGACTGCAAGTCTTACTGTAACAGTCATTTTGAGAAGCTCTGTAGCTCTTTCTGTGCCACAAGCATGGTGAATAGAGTAAGGGAAGAGATAGCATGGGTAATCTTGGTTTAAAACTAAAAAACTTGAGCCAGAAAGAAAGAATCATACCATTTTTTTTTTCTTTCTGTAAGTGGCAGACAAATAGAGCTTAGTTTTCTATGGGTTTATGTCTTTTTTTTCTTCCCATAAATCTTCTTATCCCAATAGCCCTGGTTTATAACTGAGACTTTTATGACATCCAAACTAATACTTACTGGTTAGCAGGGTGCTAGCAAATGTTGCACCTGACATCTATCTGCTGGTTCTTCAGTGGGAGAACCAATTTTGATGTCTTTTTGCTGCCTACCTAGTGCTTTTCAGAGAACTAAAGGCGAGATCCAGAGCTAGGAACCATATAGATTATTCACACATGTACACATTTCCCCAAGTACACAGCCTTTTGAATCACCATGGGAAGAGAAGATGGAGGGAAACTCACTATTAAAACCTCCAGATTCACTTGCTACACAATCTGAGTTGTCTATTATTTGTTATTTTGTCTAGGGAAAAAAAAAAATGCAGCATTTCATGTACTTGATGCTTAAATTATAAAGTTGCTTTAGAAATTCAACATGTTGATGACTTTCTCAGGAGTGGTTGTTGGAGGATAAAGGGAACTGTAGCTAAGACCTTTCTTCATCCCACCTTAACCTTCCCTTTCATGTTGAAAAGGCAAAACCTTTGACTTGGGTGAGAAAGTGGCTTCTGAGTTACAGCTCTGGATGAACGTGTGCGGAGTGGGAGCAAAGTATGCTCTGCAATGAGTGAAATATATGGGCTTTTCTGCTCCCTTCATTGTCAGCAAGGAATCTGTGACGTTTGCCTGTCTATATCTCTTACTTCTTCTCTTTCAGGAACTGGATTATCAGAAGAGACGCATGCGGGAATCAGGGGACAGGTTTGTTCCTGTCATGAGTGATTTCATCACTGTGGCCAGTTTCAGCTTCTCAGAGTTAGAAGATCTTCTCAACGAGGCTAGAGACAAGGTAAGAATACCGTTTGAAGTGTTCGGGGTTTCACTGGCTCAGTCAAAACCCTGCATCCATTTTGGAAGCAGCATTTTCAGATGCTGGGACTGTACTGAAAATTATAATAGATATTGGAAGTGGTTTAGACTGAAGTTTCTTACTTTTCCTAATCTGGTCTATAGCCATTTAGAATTTATTTTAGGATTAAAAGAAGATTCAATTCTCTTGATCACTTCTTACTCATCTTCCTTAACATTATCCATGTGTGGCACAAAATTGCGATGGCAATGTCTGTACCAGGATACACACCATGCCGTCGTGTTGAAAGGACCGCCTTTTCAGCAGTCTCTCAAAAACAGATCCTTTGGTGATTAGCGATAGTGACCTCATAACTTTTACCTTCTGCTTCTGACTTCATCTCACACTGCTCATTCAGCTGGGGACCTTTGTGCATCATTTCTTTCCTTTAAAAATGCACCTCTGGGTAGTTTGGTGACCCTGAATACCTGATCTTTTCCACTTATGCTTCTCTGTTACTGCTTGTATGTCATTGCAAGGATAGAAATCCCAAACATGCATGGTTTGTCCAACATTCTTGCATCCTTCTTACACAGCCAGCACCACGTGCATGTTACCCTTCAGGTGCTGCTGTGATCATTTTGTCCTTTCACTGTCTGCACCTCCATTGCTAGATTTGTACAACTAAGGAGGTGCTTGTCTTTGCTGATGATTGGAGTCTGGCACTAATCCCTCTGTCTCTCAGCTGAATGAGGAAGAATTTACATGAACAGATCATAAGCATATGAAAATGTTTAGAGAAGAGCAAGTTCTAAAGTAAACGATATGTAATGGCAAATCTGCCCTTGCTGGCTGGCATGTTAAAAGTGCTTGGCTTTATGAAGCACATGCGTTATTTCTTTTGGACTGAATTGTTTCCACCGCTGATGTCAGTCCTTGTAGTGTTAAGAGACCTATTGCATTACTAATGAAACCTGTGCCGTTGAATTGGTAGGCCTTAGATTTTAAAGGGCGGGCAAAATATAGGCTGAGGGTCTGAACAGTAAGACTCCTCACTCATTCAGTTGCTCTGCAATGATGTCATTCTCTAACTCAAAAGCATTTCCTTGCTGTGGAGATAACGCTGGTAATAGTGACTTGCAGCTGCAAACACCAGGAGCTACTGGCTGCCAGCTAGAGCTACCTGCCCTGGCAAATGCCAGCGGGGCAGTAGATATTACAGCACTCAGAAGGCAAACCTGGGCAGCCTAACACTTGTTAATGTTGTAAGGAAATTTTGGGGAGAACAACGTGCCTAATTTTTTTCATTGTTGTCATGTTGCTTGAGGAGATTCAAACCACTTCCAACATAATAACATTCACACCATGCTGGCTTTATAATCACAAAAACATTTTAGGTTCTATGCCTCCACTAAATTTACTGAGGAAAGCTCAGTCTTCTATTGTTTGGGGGTATCCGTTTTAAGACTGGGTATATTTTTCAACTTCATTATAGTTAGGTGCACATTTCTGGAAGTGAATTCACTCTGTCCTTGGCTTAGACTACCCACTTTTGCTTTGGTGTTATAGATGCTGGTGATCCTTTCTTTTGGCACCCTAGGACAAAAACTTAATGCAGATTCTTTACAAGGTCAGTCAGGGGTTAAAACCCAGCAAGTGGTACATGTCCAACACAGCAATGCAACTTTTCTTGATTGAGCACTTGCAGGAAAAATGCCGTTCTTTTGCTTTAAGAATAACCAGAGAATCTCCCTACAGACAGACCAATATGTCTGGAAGTTGTTGAACACTTTTTTAGACATAGCCAACATAAAGCACTCGACATAAAGAGATGTTTTATTTTAATGACTATAACATGCTTAGGAAACGTTTCTCTACCTTCTCCTCACACACCCTTACTATATTTGAACACATGCCATTCCAGCTTCTGCTCAACCTATGGCTTTGGTTCTTCCACTGGCAAAAAGCTGCTTTTGGACTCCTAAAAGGGAACTGTCTGTCCTTACCAATACTGAGCTGTTTCTCATGTTTGCCTCATATTATTTTTCCCCTCTCTTCTTCCTCTTTTTCCTCTTTTTTCTTGAAAAAAGAAAAAAAAGGAAAAAGAAAGCTGGACATTTTCAACAAACCAGATGTGCTTTGCAAAGCCTATAACATCTTCCAACCTCAGTGGGCTCTTTGTGCTTGTTGAATCACAGACTTTTTCTTGCCATGGAAACCTACTATAACTAGCCAATTAAAGGAAGAGAGGGACCAAGACATCTGATTATCCTGCTCTTTTTTGATTTCTCAAAGCAAAGCAAATTGAGAAAAAAGGTAGTGGGAGACAGAGGACTTTTAAAAATAACCTAATAAGCCCAGGAAGAATTGGTCTGGTTCACAGATTTATTAGTAAGAATGAAGCCCTAGTTTTAACAGCTGGAGTTGGATATCCTTCTAAATATAGATGTGGCTAATTGATTGCCATGAGTTAATCAGAGCCATGTTTCCTCAGCTGGGATTTAAAACAATACAACTTATCTTTTCAAACCTGGGAAGTTTTTTATTTTTTTTAATGTCTTTAGTATTAGCAAAAGTAGTTTCTTTATTCCTTTTAGTTATGGAAACAATCCATTTCCAAGGTGTGGTGCTGACCTTCTTGGTGGAGGATATTTTTCACGATCCCATGCAGTAATTGTTTTGGCCTTTTTGCTTAAACAGAACCATTTACAGTTAGTGGCCATGGGGAGGAAGTGATATTTTAAATTTAAAGGGCCAGGTTGTCAGATGCAGTCATCCATGTTTGCAGAGGAAGCCTTGTAACTGTACTTATCTTCATGCAGTAAACAGATGGCTTAGTTAAGAACTGATTGAAAACTTAGACTGACTCTTTAAATGGGCTCCCTAGCACAGCTGGTTCTTGTTCTTTTTGTGTTTTTCTCACTTTCAATACCACTTTATAAGGGAATATATAGATTAGATCAAGGGATAATGTTTTCTGCCATTTCCCGTAAACTGGAAAGTGGGGGCAGGAGAAAGTGAAATTCTGCCCTAGAATCCTTCACCAGTTTTTACATGTTTGAACAGATGAAAAATTGACTTTTTTATATCAGAAAGAACAGAATGGGGTTGAATTTCGTTTGTGAAAATTTTTCTCTGTGTTTCCTGTGGGGAAGCAGTGAAAATGCCCAGGCAGAGGAACAGTGACCTCCCATGGGAGGTTACAACATACTTAAATGTTGACAGTTATGAACTTAGATCACTTGACTGCTTCATAACTCTTCTACTTTGTGCTTGGTTTATAACAAACATGTTTTTAAAACATTTTTGATCTTTCTAGAATAATAAAGTCTGCTCAGTCAGGTATTGCCATGCATGGTGGCGTTGGGTAGAAGGTTGGACTTGATGATTTTCGAGGTCTCTTCCAACCATAAAGATTCTATGATTCTGTGATGAACATAAAACTTAAGCTTCTCTATAGAGGCACAATGGAGGCCACGGCCTGGGCAAGGCTGCTGAGGCAAGTAGGAAAAGTGTCCATCCCCAGTCTTTCTCATGACAGCTCCTCTCAAGCAGGGTGTTCATTATCATGGAGAAAGGAGTTCAGACTCTGCACATGCATGTAGTAAGCACATATAGCACATATAGTAACTGCTTTGAAGAACAGCAAGGCAATGAAAGCCAAAATCCATTTAAGAAAGTAGTCATTAATGGCAGAATGCTATGCAGCACACAGAAATATTGTAGTCCAAGTGCCAGTTACAGGCTGTGTGCTTTAGTCATTCATTTTGGGGGACCAGTATTTTCTGTCAGCCATTGGGGCTAATGAATAAGGAACGGATCAGGACAGACACCGAGGAAGTCAAGACGAGGTGTGTTACAAAGGACGTGAGCAGGTGCCACAGCCTGCTGTCAGAAACAGCCATTTGGTAAATAAATTACATAGCTGTTGTACAGTAACATAGCACTACAGATGCCTCAGGGTAGCATCATTCATATCAGAAAGTTTTATAGCACCTGTATTCGATTTTGGGGCTGCCAAAGTCACTGTTGAACTCCTGGGAGAATCCTTTAAGAGCATTTAGGTGCAAGGAGAGCTGGGCCCAGCCCTGCCTGAAATTGGCTGGGCTTTTTCCATTAACTGATCTGAATCTGTCCCATAAAGAGAACAGACATTTATTTGAACTGCCTCAGTACAGGATTGGAGTCTTCATAACAGCAAACTCAAGATTACTTCTCTGGGGAAGACAGTTCATGTTGCATGGCTACATGGTATAATTTATTTGTGCATTGGCTCCTCCTGCAATAGCAGACAGCACAGACAGAAGGAAATTTTTATCATGGCTGTTTTTCCTCCTCCTCATAGAGCCCTGTTCCTGCCGTTTCCAGAGCTCTTCTGCCACTGTTTAACATTTCGTTGGCAAGCACAGCAGAGAATGTGTGTGCTGCTGTCCCGCTTTCCCTCTCCTTGCTAAAATGGCTTCTTAAAATAAACAACTGTCTAAACGATTTGCTTTGGCAAAAGGATGAATTCAGTGGAAAGTTTGGCAGAGGAAGCAGAGCTGGCACTGAGCTTGTGGACTTGTTATATCATGGAGCTTGGGGGCCCTTATGGTGTGGAAATGAATTTTTTTAGTGAAAAAAAGAGATACCATCCTGTATTACAGTGGAAAACCTGCTGAAACACAGTTTTCCATCTTGCTTTTGCCCATGTCTGTCCCCAAATGACTTCAGGAATAAGCAAGTTTCAGTCCTTGTTCCACGATATTACAGCACGTCACAAAATTATGGGAAGCATTTGGTGTGCATGAGGACTTAGCTACAGATTTCACAATTGTGGACAAGAGCAGGTATTGCTTGGCAGGGAATCTGCCCATGGAGCAGTTGAGGATTTGTACAAGGTGACACAAATCCTGCGGTGGAGAGCAGAAGTGAGGGCTGGGGTCCAGAGCATCTACCTCGGTCTGTGCCACACCGCCTCTTACACCCTGAGCAAGGCTGGCAGTGTGGTTTTGGCCACTGTGGGCAGGTAGGAGCTTTGGCTTTGTAGCAGGGTTGGGGAGGCTGCTGCCAGCAGCTCGCTGCCCCTCATCCCAGCACCGGTGTTTTGAAAAAACACACGTGATCACAGAACCAGAGCTATGGGGAAATAGAAGAAGTAATAAAAACAGAGGGGTCTGTTGTAGTTTAAACAGTGAAAAGACAGCGCGGCTCTCTTTACAATGGTGCATTGAATTGAGGTAGTGCCCTACAGATGTGAACAATTGATTTTTTGCCATTTCCTATATCAGACTAGTGGGGCAACACTTTCTATTCTGTAACAAATGGAGAAAGGAAGTCTCAGAGAGGGAGCATGAGTTCCCAAGCCACATCATGGGCAGAGTTGGCAGCAGAGGCTGGATCTCCTGACCTGCCTTCCTCTGCTCAGTCAGCTTTTTTTCCGGAGGGGTTAGAGAAAGAAGGAAAATGTTTACCTCAGTGAACTGCAGATTTCTCTTTTGTAGTTATTTTAGTACATCTAGCTTACAGATTTTTGCTTTTCATCTTTCACTGCTTTACAGTAAGTGATTGTGACCTACTAAGTCATGTTACAGGGCACCAAAGACGGGCTGTTCTCAGCCTTCTCCTCACTGCTGCTTAGAGACCACAACACCTTATACTCATGAGTGTCTCTGGAAGGCTCCCGGCCTGCTGGGTCTTTCCAGAACAGCAACACTGTTCCTCCTCTGAGTGTCAGTGGGGAGGCAGCGGTAAAATCCCCTCTGCCAGTGTGACAAGAACTAGCTGGTGCTGGTAGTTGGGTGACAGGCCATATGCAGAGCATTTGCAGACAACACCACCCTCTAATGGAGACTTCCATGTAGGTAGGATGCAAGACCCTCAGGTAAGGGCCCCCTCTTTTTCAATCCCCAGCCTCTCTAAGAGACCAGGAAACCCCTGCAGGTATTCAGGGGCTCAAATCAGCTCGGTGCCCGTGTGCCCCCTCACTCGCCTTTGCCGTGCACAGGAGGAGCACAGGGGATGGAGGCAGTGCATCAGTAGGTACAACAGCCAGCTCTGGGGTCTGCCCCTGTACTTCAGGCTTCACAGGAGGTGGACAAGCCTTCCTTCTAGCTGACAGCTCTAGTCACTGCTTTTAATTTGTGCCTTATTTCTGATTTTTCACAGGAGTTAACCACAAGTTAAGCGGGAAGTGATTCCAGGTAGCACAACCCCTGTGAGCAATGAGCTTCAGGCGCTCTGTGTGCTCAGGCAGTGGTGGCAATGCCTGTGCTGAAGTCCTTCTCTGGCACTCCTGCTCCCCTGGCTGATTGGCACACTGGAGCAGGCAAGCCAAGAAAAGATAGCACATGGAGATGCTTTATCTCCCTCTGCGGTATTGACAGCCTATATTCTCTCTGCTGAAGAGCTAGTGCCAGTCAGTGTGGAATACTGTGAGACTGCTGCACTTTCCTAATTTTCAAGCAGACTCTGTGTACATTGTACACAGAGAAAATACATATATACAGAGAGGGGTGGGGAGAGGGAGTCGGTGTGCATACTTGTGCGTATGTGACTTCAGAGGTTTCAGGGAAAAGGAGTTAAAACAGAGAAGAAATCTGTTGCTGTTTCCATACTCTGAAGTCTCTCCACGACTTGCTGCTGTAGTGCTTCCTTCAGCTCCTGCCATGTTTGGTAGCTCAAAGCAACTTGCATTTCTTCCAACACTTTTTTTTTTTCCCAGATACTTTGGATTTCTTTGTTTGTTTCTGGCTGAGAACACAGCCTTTTTAAAGAAAAAAGAAGCTATTGCTTCAAACTGCTTTGTGGGCCTGGCAGGGAAAGCAGAGGAGGGGAGATGCCGAATCTCTCAGGCTGCGCCAGAAGGAAGCCTCTTTCCTTGGAGATTTCTTCCCCCTGCAGTTCACTGGGAGACATTGTTTATGCTTTACCTGGTACAGGGCCAGAGGGGTTTATAAGACCTCCTTCCAAACTCATTTTGTGCTTGAGATTGGAGCCTGAACTGTTCTTACTGTCCTTTTTATTCTGCAAGAGCACCCGCCTAAGGAAAAGGAAGCTGGGCTGTGTTAATATGAGCTGAACACACACACAAGAGAGTTTGAAGGCAGTCCAGAGCTTGGGAGATTCTGGGTTTGGTTCGGTAAAAACTGAGGTCTGTAAGGATGCTCTGCTGCTCAGTGGTGGTGTGTTGAAGTGCAAGTCGGGAATGGGAGTGGAGCTGTGCATCAGGGCACCAGTGCCATCAGGAATGTGTTGCTGGTGCTGCCTGTTGCGATGCAGAGGTGTGTGAGGGAAGGTGGTTGGACAACGATACAGCTTTTGGATGTGTACACTTACATAGGATTTAGTGGACTTGAGTGTACATGCTGTTGATAGACTATATGTGCATGCATTTCAATGCATTTTAGTGAGTACAGAGGCATGCTTGTGAGTGTGAGAGAGCAAAGAATGCAACTACTGCAGGACTGATGTCCAAGAGCCAGGGATTGCTGTGAATTTACCCTATCCCAATCAGGACTGCCCTGTGACTGAAGTCCTGCCAGTTGGCTGCATCCACATGCATCCTGCAGCCTCAACATTTGCCTTTTAAAATAAAAGCCACTTGTGATGTATTCACTCTCTTTTAAGTCTGCCCGGGAGCCCTGGCTGCTTTCCTTGCCCCTCTCTCATGCCATGGCTGTCCATAGTCTCCTCTCTCCCAGGCAACACCCTGACTCAGAGGACTTCAGAGTGACGGATGACATGGCAAAAGGCTCCTGAGAGGGCAGACTGTAATGTTATTGCAAAAAAACCCCTCTAACTCCAGCCATTCTAAAAGTGGGTTTGAGAGGAAGGTGGAAAGGGAAAAGATGGGCTAAAACTACTTGTTTGATAGTTAGGATGGACTAAAACTACTTGTTTCCCCAGCTAGTTCACTGTCTTCCGTACCCCTCCTGTCCCACAGCTGCAGCTGAGCTGTAGCCAGATGGTCCTCCTCTGAAATCACTTCATCACCCTCAGGCACTGAACATGTTTTTTTGTATAAGCAGACAGCGAGTGCTCTCCAGCACCACTGCCCTGTGTTGCCCAAGGGATATCCAGGAGGGCAAATTCTTCAGACGGAGAGGCACTTCTGTTGCCAAGGGGTAGTTTCTTCTCTCGCCACATGAATGCTCAGAGGGATTGAATTACATGTGTGGTTATCCATAAGCTTTCCTCGCTGTCTTCACCAAACTGCCTGCCTAATTATTGCTTTTGTGTTTCTGCCCCCTTGACAGTATGCCAAGGCACTGAAGCATTTTGGAGAGAGTGAGGGGAAGATGCAGCCGGATGAATTTTTTGGCATCTTCGACACTTTCTTACAGTCATTTGCAGAGGCCAAGCAAGATCTGGAGAATATGAGGAAGAAAAAGGAAGAAGAGGAGCGCAGGGCACGCATGGAGGCCATGGTGAGGACCTAAGCACAGGAAGGTGTTTCCTTCCATTACCTTTTAATGTCTCAAGAGAGAAAGGCTGAGAAAGCCAATTCCAATGCTCATGTCCTGTCACTGTCACTGTTTTATGTCCTTCTCCCTGCCACCTCTCTTTGGAGTCATTCTCTTCACAAATGATGACATTTTTCCTGCTGGTTGTCCTGTCAGCTCTCAAGGGCATACTGTTTGACTCCTAAATTACGCTCTTTGGGATCCAGATACCAAATCTAGCCCTGCCTGTTCTGCCCCAGCACTTTGCAGGATGGTGCTACCAGAGTGCCAGTGCCTGCCCAGTGCCAGACTATCCTGCTTTCAGGCTGCAAGCTCTATGCAAAAGCTCTGGGAGCCAGATCTCCCTCAGTCCTGCCAGCTGGTCAGCTTCCACTCAGACTCCACCATCATCTGCAGCGAATGCTCTGGCACCTGCTGCAGCCCACGATGGCAGTATTTCTCTCTGGCCAGCCTTAATGCCTTGATTACCGGGGCCATGTCTGGCCTTGACGTGATGAGAGAGCTTTTGTGCGTTGTTGATTTTGCTGCTGGGAGACAGATGTGTGTGTCCCCAGAGGTTCATGTGAACCAGCCTCCCCCTCTAACCTCAGCCCTTCCTGAGGACCGAGGATGGCTCAGCACCCCCCTGCCTCCTACCCCCCTGCCGGTGCTTTAACCCTGGCTGCCGTCATGTCCTCAGGCCTCGCTGCAAGGAGTTGCTGCTTTAAATGTTTACTGTGCCAAAAGCACCGGTTTGTGCCTTTCAGAAGAGGAGAGGTAAAATGCCAGGACGGCAGCAGCCTGACACAGGGATAAAATGGTAGGACTTACGCTTAAGTTTCCTGTCAGCCAGCCTGGAAAGGGCAAGAGCCTGCTGTTAAAGCACTAGAATGGTTTTGTAGGCCTAATGCACCATGAGAGAGGTTGCCATTTGCTTATGGAAAGAGTCTTCCTGCAACGTGGGGCTACTGGGCAGAGTGAGTGACCTGCTTCCTGACAGCTGCATCCATCCCTTGCCATTTCCACTAATCTTGGAGCTGAGCAGTGGAGAGGTATAACCAAGCTCCCTGGAGCTACCCTAGGGAGACCAAGGGCATCATATTGACAGTTGAACCTATTCAACCGTTTGTAAAATCAGCAGTTCTGTTTCATTGCTTGTGTTTATAACCAGTTTCTCTTTCCAGAGTCGAGGCAATGTGCCTTCCTGTTCCCATCACTGCAACATGCTGCCTCCATCCAAACATGAGCTGTTTGGTGGATAGGGTTTCTGTTGATGTTTTGATGTCTCTCACAATTTTCATTCTCCAGTATTTTTAGCTTGTGACTTTCTGGGGTTTTTCCTTTCTTCTTTTCTTCCTTCTGCAAAACTGCAGCCTTTCTGCCTGTCAATTTATCTAGCTATGGCCCAAGCACAAAGCTGTTTGTGACTACGCTAGTGACTGTGGTTTGTATAGAGACATCCAAACTAACTTTAAACTCACTAGGTTAGGTACTGTCAGCATAGTAGGTGCTGCCACACTAAGGTTACTGCAAGCCTGGTCCCAGAACCTGGGTAATTACCTGTGCCAGCATCACTCGTAGCCTGTCGTTTGGCACACCTACTTTGCTGGCACGACCCTACTGCAAAATTAGTGCAAAACAGCAGCAGCATAGACAGATCCCATGTGTCCTCTTTGCACCAGGGTGGTAGTGCTTTGTGAGGCAAACATACGATGCTACTCATTCCTCATCTCTCCTGCTCTCTGCTTGCCTGTGCAAAAGAGAGAAGCCAGCATGGTCACCTGTTGCTCTTGGCATAGGTGATGGCCTTGTGGATAAGGTCCTGATCTCTTTTTCCCCTGAACTGTACTGATGCATCTTAGCTGCTTCTTGGCAGTGTACCTAGTGGTCTGGCATCTTGGTTAGCTAATCCTAAAGCTCTGTGTCTTTCTCCACAGTTAAAAGAGCAGAGGGAAAAAGAGAGGCGACAAAAGAAAGCGAAAGCTGGAAGCATCTCCGAAGAGAGCGGGGAGTTTGATGACCTGGTGTCAGCATTAAGGTCGGGTGAAGTCTTTGACAAAGACTTATCCAAGCTCAAGCGTAACCGCAAGCGTTCGGGGAACCAAGGCTTAGAGACAAGCCGGGAGCGGGTGGTGACAAAGCTAAATTATTAATTACAAGAGGAAGAAAAATAATCAACCAAAAGACGGTGATGAAAAAGTGCAAAACAAGGAAGATGAATGTGTGCGATGGAGCCTGGCTGACAGCTGCCCCAAAGGATTTCTTTGGTCTGTGGCTAGAGACGTTACCTTTCCACGATCAGCTTTCCTCTCATCCCTCTTCTGTGCTCCTCATTTGAACCATTACAAAAGTGCCTCTGCGGAGCCAGCAGGGCCTGTGACTGGGCCGTGCAGAGCTGACAGATTTGCTTCTGGGAGTTTATTGTGTCATCAGAGGCCTCATGGTGATGACAGAAAGTACTTGGGCCTTGCAGACTGCCTCACAGCTGGAGAAAGAGAATTTCCTGTGTGCCAAAGTAAAAACTAGTCATGATCTCCATCCTGCTGATAACAAGCAAGACTAATTTCAGAGCACCTCTGTAAACACCTGTTCCTTCTTCAAGATCTAGACTGGCCTTCAGGGGCTTGCCAAGATGTGGTTCCTGAGGTTTCCCATTCCGTTCCAGAACTGGATTTTATAAGCCATTGATTAGCACCTGGAAATTGCTTTTGATCTGTTCTATGTAGCATTTTTCTGTGGCCTACACTGTCCAAAGAAAGGGATGCTCAGAAGGAAGTAATCAAGTTCTGGAACAAATTGAAATTCAAGAATCGGGATCAATATAAAATACTTTGCAAAAGTATTTTGGATTCTGCTTTTCTAGAAGCAGTTTTCTGGAATTTGTTGATGGTTGATCCTCAAAGCTATGAAATGCATCTTCTAGGAAAGAAGCTCTGGCTTCTTTTTAGAAAACCAAGCCACTGCCAGGTTGGGATTAGAAGCAGATGACTGTGGAGCCTGTTGTCACTGTTGGAGGGTGGGAGGGAAACAGCGGAACATTTCTTACCTGTTTGTGCAAAATTTCTTAGTGCAGCCCAACGGAAATCGGGAGCTCCCTAATATCATCCGCAGGTCACAAGTAGCAAAAAGCAAACAGGGTCACTGGCTGCAAGAAATGAGATTTCTTTTCCACTTGATGCTAGCTGTGATTGTTGTTGGCGTGAACTGGTCTTTCTGAGGCTGACCTCCACTGCACAAACCCCACTCCTTCCTAGGGGAATCACGTAACTCAGTAACATATGAATGGTGTCAAAGGAGAGCCTTGCAGCCCACAGCCTTTTTCATTTTGAAGGGATCACTTGGGATGAACCAATGGAGGGTCCCATAATGAAAATTGAGAATTTTTCCAGGAGGATGCAGAATTGTGTAAGCCAAGCAGGCTTTGGAGATGGGTTAATTCATAAGGAAAAAAAAAATATTGTATTTAAGGTACATGTATGAAGCACACAGCGAAAAAGCAAAGAACCCCAAGAAGAGACCTGAATTCTGAATTTTGTATGTCTTCATGGCTCTAGGAAAGGGATTTGATTGTGTGCGCTGTCAGTTGTCATGGGCTTTTTTTGTTGGTGTTTTTTTTTTTTTTTTTTAATCTTGTCTTCCTTTTTTATTATTTTCCCTGGAGAAGGAAAAAAGGAAAAGAAAGAAATGGTGATGGATTTTTCCTCCTAGACAGGAAGAAAAGAGGGAACACTTGAGAAGAGACACCCACCATCTACAAACTATGCATCAACAGTCAACAGCACAAAATGTCATGGAATCCCAGGGAAGTGAAAAAAGCTCTATTTGTCACTTTAATAATTTGGTTTGATTTTTCCTCTGCGTGTCACTTAACCTCAGGCTCTGCACCGACTCTGCAGAACAGAACTTCCTCTGCCATGCACGCTGCCTGATCAGTATTACACATTACCGATATTGGAGAAGCAAACTGTGGTGGTTTTCTGAACACTTTGAGAGTAAAATAATTATGTAAACTATGGAAAGAAGCAAAAAAGTCAGAATTGTTAAACTATAATGTTTCACTGTTTACTGACTTTTGAGTCTCCCACCCTAGAATTCCCCTATTTACGACATTCCAGACTGCCGCGCCTCTGTATAATACTCATCGTAAAGAGCTGGTATCTTACAAGAGCTGGGTGCATTCTCCTCCCTTACTATCCCATTCCCCTTCTGGGATTAGCTATTAACAGCAACGCCCATTGCAGCGGACACAAGCACCTTGTAGAAGAAAGACTGTATTTCATAAAGGTTTTTGAAAGTTTAAGAAAAACTTTCACTTTTTTAAGCATTTTTATTTTAAATTACAAAATGGATTTTTAGAAATATCTCTTGTAAATTATATTAACAAGCTCCTTGCTGCTCCCTGAAGTAGACATGCTATATCCCAGCCCTTTTTGTTTGTCCTGTTTTTTAAAGTATGCCATATAACCTATGCCATGTAAGCCATATGAGAGGTAGTAATACGTGCCAAATTGGTATACAGTTGAGTTTAGATTTGGATAATCCCTGAATTCCAAAGATGATGCTTTTAGGGATTAGAACATTGTAATTTTTTTCCCCTCTTTGTTCTCCCTGGGTTCAGGACTCACCCAGAAACTCAGGTGTAGTGCCAAGGTCAGCCCTGGTGCAAGATGATGTGATTCATGGCTCTGCCCAACTTACGGCTGCTTGCTTGCTCCCCAGGTACTTGTCTGATAAGGCAGACTGTCAGCATGGCAGTGCTGTCAGAGAAGAAACACCTCAGGGCGAAACCCTTGAATATAAATACTGCATTCCCCCCGCCTCGGTATTTGTCAAACCAGGTTTGTGCTGTGTCTTTTGAAACTGAAGTCACTTTGCCAGGCCACAAATGTAGCAAAAGCAGAGAGAGTGATAAACCCCCTGTCCATTTGTGTATACAGTTCAACCCCAATTTAAAGAGATCCTGTATGATGGTACGCGGCACTCCAGCCACACTGACAGAGTCAAAGAAAGCTGCTGTAGTTTTTGCCACCTCCTTGACTCTTATACAAATAATGGGAGATTGTGCAACTCTTGTAAATCAGCTGTGGGATACTTACTGGGATGGACAGAGCGCTCGGAGTCATGCCCCTGATTCGCTGCAGCTCAACTTTCTCAGCACTCCAGTGCCCCAGACTCCCGTTTTGAATCTGTGATGGTGGCTGAAGGCTTCGTTCAGCATGCTGGACAGTCCCCCTGGCTCTTGACTCCATGGTGAATATTCATAGAGAGGGTTTTGGAAAAGCTCAGTTACACACTGAGGCAAGCAGTGATTTCGTATAAGTGGTGACAAGCGGAAAGGCCCGTTAACAGGTCTATTGTATGAGGTGACACTGGCCACACAGAAGATAAGGAAAAAAGTTGGGTCTGCTCTAGGGCCTGGTGTCAGATTCTTGCTGAAGCCAAGTTTGTCCTTGCTTCTCATCTCTTAGGTACTGCAAGTCAATCTATGCTTTGTTCTTCATCAGCAGTTGTGGTAGAGTTGCTGTGCACTGTAGGAGAAAAGAAAATCTTATTCCTTGTCCTCTGGTGCTAGCAGAGCCTGAGCAGGTACAGCAAGCAGTCGTGAGGTATAACATTGAGGCATAACCTCTTTATCACACTGAGAGCTGGAGAAGAGCTAGGGTCTGCTGTTATCCTTGCACCTGTGCCTAGCACCGGCATTTTAAGTGAAATCGCTTTGTCTTTGGAAATAAGTGGAGGAGGAGGAGATGTGAGAAAGAAGGGTATAAACACAGACTTGTTCTGCTTCTTGCAGAAATGTAGTCATTGCTAACTTTATGATGAAGTTCTTCCCACCTAGAAGAGGAGGTACTTCCTAACTCTCCAGTCCTTGTCCCTAGAGGTCTAGTGCTCACTCACCTCTGCGTCTCTGCGTTGTTCTTAAGCAGGTTACATTAGGATGGTCTCAGAAAAGACTGAAGAACTCCCTCCCTGTCCCACTCCCTTGATCTGGGCCACTCTTCTCTGTCAGTCATAAGTCTCTGGAAACGCTACAAGGTAAAGTGACTTCAGGGCAGCAAGGCCCTTCCAATTCCTGCAGGATGGCTGTCGTCCAGGCACCGGTTCCCTACGAGAGCAGAAGTAGGACTAGCGTTCGGGGATGAGAGACTCCCCGCTAGGGTGATGACCTGGGTGTCCTTCAGAAGCATTTCTGTAACGTGTTCACAATGTCTGAGGAAGGGAAAGGAATGGCGTGGGGCCCTGGTGCGAGACTGTGGGGCAGGTGTTTCCGTAATGGTCAGCCCCACTGGCTGAATCTTTGCTCTTCTTTAGGAAAGCTCACACTCTGAGCTGGGTTGCATGGGAGAAGCTTGTGTCGGGAGTTTCCATGAGGGGAAAGGAGATCAGTTGTACAGTTGATGATGTACATGATATATGCAGTTTCATTTCTGGGTTGGTTGTTTTGGGTTTTTTTTTGTTTGTTTGTTTTGGGGGTTAAATGATTTTTTTAAAAAAGGGTTTTAGGAATCTCTAAGGGGAACCTGTAAATCTGACACCTCTATTTATTTTGCCTTATTTTAGTTCGCTATGTTTGTATGTATACACTGCATTACAGCAAAGACTATTGAGACCGTGCCAGGGCATTACACCAGCTAGACAGCTGGCTTGGCTATTGCGCAGCAAGCTGAGCTAGGCAAGGGGATGCATAGGAGCAGTTTTGGTGTGGGAAGGGAGGGAAGAAAAAAACCTTTCCTTTTACTTTTGTCATAATCACTCTGTCCCTGGTGATCCTGGTTCTGGGAAAGTGTGCATTGTAAAGCACGTAGTGAATTGATACATGTTGGTTATTTTAGAACACTTTCTATAAAATCTGTTTATTTCTTATCATGAATCACGGTGAGAAGATTGAGAAGAGTTAAGCTGCACAGTTGCTTCCTCAAACTTTGCCCTTCCACACGAATTCTGTCCATAATGCCAGAGAAGCTTGGATAGATGGGCAAAAGTGTTCATGTCCTGTAACTTCTCACCAGAGTTAACACACTGGTGAGACAAACTGGGACAGTTCTCCTTCCTCAGAACTAATATTCCTTGCTATCTTAAAGATCAAGGAAGAAGGATTTCCTTTACTTCCCCTCTCTCCTCCTCCACCTCACCTCCCCAGATTATCCAGAGT